CGCCAGGCAGTACTTTGTACAATTTGGTCCGTAATAATTTGCATTACACTGCACGTGATATGCCAAAGACATAGTGGAAGGATGGCCTGGCCCACCCAGGGAAATCGTTTTCCACTTTAATGATTCCATCCATGGAGTCGGTACAATCTGCTCTTCTTTGAAGTTGAAGCGATCCACGTCATCCGCCGCCGAGAAGTAATCATAGTCCTTGATGTCGAGTGTAAAACTCAAAAGACCCTGTGATAATAATGTGACATTCATTTCATTAGTGGGAAAATCAAAAGCAGGAAACGACATTTACATGCCAAAAAGAACTCAAATCTCTTGAGCGAATGTTGCGGTTTGTTTATCTGTCTCAAGTGAGTAAGTCAGTTCGTGACAATGGAAGTAATATGCAACACACGTTCCGTGACGTCAATGAAGATAATTGAGAATAATGTTTTGTGTCGTATTTACAGCGGTCCACTAAAGCTACCTTGAAGCTCCATTTATTTTACGCCACAAACGTCGAAATAACTTACCTTCCAAGTAGTGAAACTTTTAGACAAAGGGTTTTTCCAGCCGTTGCCGAGGGAATGCCCACCGGTGAACACTATATGCTTGTAGTTGTGATAGGTGGAGGTTTGACCTGACAGCAGACAGTGGCTGGAAGTTAGATCAATGCGGATACAAAACACAAAGTAGTAGTTACAGACAGCGCACGCCGGATCACAGCAGGTCCCACTCATCGTGCGGCTGCTTGGATTGGAAAAGGAACGGAACAGGAGAGACACTTGGCCTCCTTGACCACAGGCTACCCAGCTCTGTAGAAAAAACATGGCAGCAGGTATTAAAACAAGCAGATTCCAATCCGGGGGGTGGAGGTATTTCGTGGGGGTGTGCCACCCGGTTCTCTAAATCCTGAACCTATTTCAGACCAAAAATGTCATGATTTTTCACACCAGTTTTCAGACCAGGTCCCTAAGAAATTTATGTCATCACTTACGCTTAGATTAGAACAGCAACAAAAATTCTTAAAATCCATTTCGAATTCGCATATTTCTCTTTCTTTCTCACTCATTTGGAATTGAAACGATAAATACGTTCATACACTAGCGTAGTTCCCCCGAAAACCATACCCGATTCCAGACCAAAATGGGCACAGTTTATACCCGTTTTCAGACAAAAACGGCGAATTAAATTAAGCAAGGTGGAATGCAGCACTTCAGAGTTATTTGTTGTATGTTTTTGTTTCAGGGGGATTGTGAGCTTTTTTGGACCTGACGAGGCATAACGTTCAAGAGCATTCCTACCATCGACCATTCCGCTCTTATTATATTGACCAATTATACTTCGCATTAATTTATTCAGTCGCAATTTCTGAACAAAAAACAAAAACTGAATCGTGCAAGGCGAAACTTGTAATGTTGCATTATAATACTATGTTGATCATAATCAACGAAAAAGATGCGCGTCCACACTGAACTAGTTTAAGACTAAATTAATATTAGCACTTAAAGCTGAAAACAAAAGGCGTTTAACAGCAAAAAAAAAAAAATCCAACAGGAGGGCGTTTCTATTGGTTTAAGCTGCACAGTACAAAGTGGGTATCGCCACATTATTGCTTTTTAATTACAAAGAGATGTGTTTTAATAGCATTTCCTACAATTTTCCAAACTACAGTAACTCCCGTTATTATTTCTAAAAAACTTGTCACTACGATCATGAGCAGAGCGGTGCTTTAGCAAGCATCAATAAAAGAGAGGATCGCCACGATAGAAAACTAAGTTCGGACATGTTTGACTTTCCGTGTGAAATGCACCCAAAAACTCTTCTCACGTAAGCAAACACAACCAGCACTATAAGCAGCTTATCCTAAAAGTCAGGCTCATTTATACATTATGTCAAAAAGGAAAACTGTTACAAAATAACAAAGCAGGCATCAACAGGTGGCTTGAGAGGCGGAAAAATACTTACGAACGCTTCTTAAATTAGCATCCTACAGGTCAGTAAAAGAAGTGTGTGGTCCGGCATTGAGATTAACAGGGGATTTCATTCCCTTCATTCGGCCACAATTTTCAGAAATAAGCCTCCTCTCGAGACCTTTTATTCCTCTTTAAAAACCATTATTTTGCAACACCCTCACAGACCCTTTCTGTAGTAGAAGCCAACCCCAATACAAAAACCGGCTCCTGTAGCTGAAGGATTCTGAAAGCTTTACAGGTGCGAAAGTAGTGAATGGGCAACTCATGAACCTCACTTGAAAAGTTAAGCAGGTCGTTTAACAGAACTAGCCACGTTTGCTAGTTACTTTAAAAGAAACCCGTCTATTTTCTGAAATAAGCACTCCTTTTTTATATAGGATCGATTTTTCTCCGACGAAACCTTACATTATATAACATTTAAAAGCGGCTCTGTACACTGTGTGAGGTCCTGATCTTCTGATCCTGCTGTTAATCCTTGTTTACACCAAGTACACTAAAAATCGTTTCCTGTTACATTCTCTGCTTACTCCTGTACTTTTTGCCTTTCGCAATTAAGCAAAGATTATAACTTCGATCTATACTTTTTTTTCCTCACTTACTCTGTACAGGCAGGGAACTAATTTTCATCATTTAAAACGTTACGTACTTTTCCCCCCACGAAATAGGGTTAAAAAGCGAATACGGCTTTGCAACAGGAAACATTACATGGTTGCAATAATGAAACCAACTTGTTTCACACTTACCATTTTGCTCATCAGAAATAGAAAAATGAACAGCCATAGCAAAGGAGACATGCTTCTACCCCAGAAAAATGAGTAACTGATGATGCCACAGTATCCACTCTATTCTAAAAACACTGAATGATTTGCTTCCTGTAGTAACATGAATTACTAAGTTTCGGTGTCACGTGGAGGACTCAAGTGGCAACTAAATATCAAGTATACAATTGCTAACTGTATTCTCAGAGGTCAATGACTACAGACACACCAGGTACTGACGTCATAAACAATTTGTACCTCTATTATACATGTAACTTCTATTTCGTACAACATGAGTGCACGGTGACAGTTGAAAATGTCAAGAAGATTGTTCCGGATTACTTTAAGCACGTGGAGACAACAAAACTAAGTTTAAGCAAAGGCTGTTGACATTTCACTTCACTATGTACATCAAGTTATTTCCACAAGCATGAGACTCGTGCACATAAGGAGGCCAATAGAGGAGGATAATGGATCGGTGCCATGAAAAAATATAAAAGTATTAAAAATAGACACAAACACATTTTAAGCTAGTGTGTTATGTCCTAGTGAGGTTCAAAAGTGTACTAGAGTAAAAACTCAAGGAAGCTCGATGTCGTCAAACTGTAACATCCAGGGCGCCTAGCACTGTTATGTTTGTGGGAAAACAATAAGATTTCCTAGTTGCCAAGACCAAAAGTAATACGCCAGAGGCCAATTGGCACTGCTAGAGCACTGCCCTAGAGGTTTATAGATGGGTATAATAAGAAACACTGACTTCATTCTAAAAACAATAATTATTTTAAAAAAACTAACTTAGAGGCGTAAATGAAAGTAATCATGAGTTTGTTGACTACCATCACTAGCAAGTTTGGAAGCAAACAGTTCCACTGACAACAAAGCAATGGATCGAAAGCAGCAAAGGAACCTAGTCGCAAATTCAGTTTCTCTTTTTTTGGTTGAAATTGCCTAAAAAAGAATATCGTGTGTGGCATCTGTAAACTTCGCAGTGAGTATAAGAGTTAAGATCATGATCAATTGTTTGGCTGCGCAGAATTCGTCGAGATTCCACCATTCTAAAAGGCTAACAGAGCACATTGACAGGTGAGATTTTGGAAGAAATAAAAAGAGCAGTGGTGTCAGAAAAATAAAATTCTGGGCAGTATGCTTCTAGAAAGCAATGATTTAATAATACCTTTACTAGGCGAGATGGCTTAAATCATTCCTCAGCAATGAGCACTTTTTTTGCTTTCAAGTTAGAAAATACAGATCCCATCATATACTTAGGTACTTGATAATCAAGATTTTTTCCAAGCACCATGAGTTGGTTTATAGTAAAATAGTGAAAATTTTGGGGCTTAAAATAATAGGAGGGAAATCGCAGCTCAAAATCCTATTTTTTTAAATTTGTAAATAGTACAGTAGTACAATGTAATAATATTAATTTGAGTATGCGCTAGAAACTTTGTGAGAGCATATTAAATCGCCCTGTTCTTGTCAATTTCAAGCAAAACAGCATTACAGTCTACTGAAAATGAGTTGCCAAGAAGAAAATAGATTATAGTGGTATCTAAACAGTTTATGGTTTATACACTATATAATTTATACAGTGGTTTATAGTTCATATCAGGTAACGGTGAGGCAACCATGACTCAAGAGAATTTTAAATTAAGATTCTTAATAATTCTCATTGGTTGTATGTATGGTATATGTGTTTTAGCATTTACTAGACTGGGAAAAAACATGCACTGGCCAGGCTGTTTTGGCTTTTTAAAAAGATAGCAAAAGCATGCTTGTCACTATACCATCCAAGTCTGTTGACTACAGTCTACTGGCAGTGGTGGATCCACACCTTCAGGTAAGCAGGGGGCAGTCATCCAGACCCTGAGATAAAGGGGGGCCTGGTCTCAAAAAAATTTTTTTTTGGCCCTTTGGGCCTCAGTTTGGTCTAAAAATAAGAGGGAGGGGGAGCTCCCCTGGATCTGCCACTGACTGGCACATCCTAATTTGGGAAGTGGCAATGAAGAAAGTGAATTTGATGAGGGTCCACCTTGACTGGAGATGAGGAGGCTATAAAAGACACTACACATCACATGTGCATTACTCAAGAACCTCTACGAAAAGAAATGCAATTTGAACATATGGTGTTTTATAAAAGGTTTTTTGAAACATTCAAATATGCTGCCATTTTGGCATTTTTCTTAAGGAAATTTCAACACAACTACTGACACAAGTGCAGAGTTCGAGAATTTTTCTTACATTTAACAAACTGAAACTGGAGTTAAACATTCGTGACCTTAAGAAAGGGATAAGCATGCATAAAACTACGCTTATCAGTTCCAAAATGTTTTCGTCTTATGACGTCACACGCGAGCCTGTCATGTCGTGATGAGCGGAACGGGCGAGCTGATTTATAACAAAAATCTCATTTTTTAAGACGTAATTTTTTTTCGAAGAAGTTCTTGTGTTAATCTGATTTCAGTTAACATAACGAACATTTTCAGGTAAAAGCCGCTTTGAATATAACCAATACTAAAGTTGTAAAGAAGTGTCATCGTCGAGAGTCTGCACATGTATGCATGGGGGAGTTAGTCGGATTTGGCATTTTCTGGACAGAATACTTAAAAATATCAGTTGTGCCGATTCCCTTAGCATGTACATCCCTTTTAAGGTTGGACAACTACTCAACATGCCGAGATTTCGATCATATTTCATCTCATCCCTGTCGTTTCGGTTTCTGTAGTCTTTTGAAGAAACCGCCACATGGTGGAATGCTGCGCCCGCGGTCGTACAGTTCGAATCCGAACCAACAAAGGATACGTCATGTAACGTTAATTATCTTTGCTTCCGACTGAAAATGGCGGAAAGTGATGCGGAAGTATTGAAGGAGAAAGCAAAAGAGGCGATAGACACGTATTCTTCAGAGTTGTTTGATCTTAACCGATGTATATGGCAAAATCCAGAGCTTGGCTTTAATGAGATATACGCTCACGATCAGTTAACAGAGTATTTAGCAGCACGAGGTTTTGATGTGACACCTCATTACACTTTGGATACCGCTTTTCGAGCTGAAACTGGTGAAGATGGAGGCCTTACAGTTGGTTTGATTTGTGAATATGACGCTTTACCAGAAGTAGGTCACGCGTGTGGACACAATCTGATTGCTGAATCTGGTGTAGCTGCTGCTTTAGGTAGATATTATAGACTCTGTACTGTCAGTTTACACCACAGGTAGCCCAAGCCCAATTAAGCATACAATGGGCGACTTCATGTACTCGGTTAACATAACACCTCAAAAGGTCTTACAACGGATCGCACACATACGAAAGGCGCAGCACAAGTTTATGTTTGCCAGACGTAACTAATCGATGACATTAATGACATCAATGAAATCAATAAGTAATTAATCGGTAATCAGTTGATTACTCATTAGTCATTGATTATATCTGATATTCAATGAGTAATCGACAAATAATTGATAGGCCACAAAATTTTCAGCTGACGTTGATTTGTCATTGATTAATTATTGATATAATCTCAGGGCATGCAAACCAAACCAAATCGAAAATAAAGAAACAAAGACTTCTTTGACATAAATGTCACTATACAAACTTTTGTTATTCATGATCTTTTACCCAGTAGGCATTCTGTGGTGGCTGCCTTTCTCACAAAAGACACAGACTCTAATAGCCAAGAGAGTAAGACATAACTCGACCTTCTGAACATTTCGTTTTTGATATTTCAGTTGCTGTCCAATAAATAAATTTCATTTGCCGTTCTGTTTTCGTCATAGCCCATATACATTGGTTTTCTACATGCACGTTCAACTCCTATTTGGCTATAAGTTAGGAAAAAAAATTGCTACAAATTGTATGAGATGAGTAAATCAATGACTAATCGATGAGTAATTGATAGGCCACAAAATTTTTCGCCATCGATTAGTCATTGATTACCCATTGATTATAGTAAATAATCAATGAATAATCAGTTGATTACCCAATGATCATTATCGAATACTCATTGATGTCATTCATCATTGATTAGTTACGTCTGGTATTTGCTACCCCCATTCTATGGTTTAAGTTTGCTACCTAATGACAAAGTCAAAAACTTTTACCCAAGAAAGCTTAAAGGATGAGAAAATATACAACATTAATATTAAAAAATTATTTTCAATGTTAATGTTTTCCAGATTCATAAAGTCGTATGTGGCAATTACAGCTGTATCTGGTTTGGTCATTTGGCATACCGTAAAATTCCAAAAATAAGCCCCAGGGCTTATATTTTTCAAAGGCCCTTTTTGAGGGGCGTATTTTTGGAGGGGCTTATATTCGGATGGGCTTATCTATGGAGGGAAATTTGGGTTTCAAAATTGATTGGGCTAGCCTTATAGTTGGAAGGAAATTTACCATTTTTGCTTTGTTTTACTTTGTATTTGAGGGGAAATTTTCAATTACAAGCCCCCGGGGGGCTTATACTTGGTGGGGCGATTTAATGCAGTGTTTTTTGCGTTAAGAGTTTGGGGGGCTTATATTTGGAGGGGCTTATACAAGGAGGGGCTTATTTTCAGAATTTTACGGTCTTTGATAAGTAGCAAAATTAATTTCAAGCTAAAGACCCAATTAATGCAGAAATGGTCACAGCAGTTTCATATTCTTTTGTTCATATTGAAATCAGCCCTACTAGCCTCGTTCTTAGGTACAAAATTCAAAAGAATACCTTTTCTCAAGCAAAGCTAGTCAGGCTTATTTTGATTTAGACAAAAGAATATTAATCCAGCAGCCATTTTTGCATATTTGGGTCCATGCAGCTTTGAAAGGGAAGGCCTTGAAACTGTAGTCCTTTCTAAATCAGAGAAATAGCCAATCCCAATCATGGGGCAACATGTACACTGCACTTTGATTAGGGATAATTTGGATAAAACAATTAAGGAACAAAAACAACATGGAAAATTTGTATATTACAAAAAAGGAAGATGGCAGGACTTTGGAAAATTGAACAAAATTTAGCTGCACATCGCTTTGAAAGGCAGTACATGTACATGTATCTGTTGTCTATGTTTTTCTTTGAAGGTCTCAAGATTGCTTTAGAGGCTGTCAACCAGAAGCCCAAGTTGAAAATAGTAGTTTTTGGAACTCCAGCTGAGGAAGGAGGAGGAGGCAAGATTTTGATGATTAATAATGGCTGCTTTAAAGGTGTTGACTTTTGTATGATGGTCCATCCTAGCCCAGTGGATATGCTGAAACCAACCATCTTAGCTCGAGATAAAGTCACAGTCACCTACAAAGGTCATGCCTCTCATGCTGCAGCATTCCCGTGGGAAGGAGTCAATGCACTGGATGCAGCAGTCATGGCTTATAACAGTATAAGCGTGTTACGACAACAGATGAAGCCCACATGGCGAGTTCATGGTATCATCACTGAGGGAGGTGTGAAGCCTAACATCATTCCTGACCGCACCCAGCTAAAGTATTACCTTAGAGCTCCAACTGTCGAGGAGCTTGACTTGTTACGGCAAAAGGTGACAAGTTGTTTTGAAGCTGCAGCAACAGCTACTGGTAAGCACTGTGCACTGTTCTTCACTTGTTGAACACAAAGTAATTTTTTTTTTAAACAAAACTAATAAAGAGCTGTAGGGCCACTTCAAACTTTGAACTTCGCAAATATGTCTATGAACAAAATTTGTTGTTCTCACTCATTTGCTAATTGATTTGGCACATTTTGGGGAGGAAGGGTGGTGCAGTGGTGAAAGCACTTGCCTCCCACCAATGTGGCCTGGGACTGAATCCTGCCATCAACGCCATGTGGGTTGAATTTGTTGTTGGTTGACTACCTTCCTCTGACAGATATTATGTTCCCTGGGTACTCCAGTTTTCCCCTCTCCTCAAAAACCAACACTTCCAAATTTCAATTCGATCTGGAATGCGCGGACACATTTCAACTAGTTCTTAAGAATTCCTAAGTGCTCTGTGGGTAAACAAATTACAATTACAATTACATTTTGAAGTTCATTGTTTGAAATGGACCTTACTTACATGTACCAGTACATTGTGTATGTTACCTCACAGCAACCAATTTTCTGAGGGAGTTGCCTTGCATTTTCTAAAACTGTTTTTTTTTTTTTTATCTCAAGAGTACAATGCATAAACAATAAATTAGCAACGTGCTGTCATTAAGACAGAATCTATCAGGAAATTGAGTAATTTCAATTTTCAGGGGACAGAAAGCTTGTACCAGAAAAATTTCAACAATATCACAATTTTTGTGCAATTTTGGAGTATTTTGCAAATGTGCTCTTCAATTAGTTATCTCTCATGGGAGCCTGAGAAATTAAATGTCAAATTTCACATGAATTGTGAAAGCACAGGTAAAATTCTGAAGATTTCCTGTGTAAGATGTCATTTTGGTGAAACTTGACATTAATTTTTCTTTTCTCGGGCCCTTGTGAGAAATTTTGTTTGGTGTTATTACAGATAACTAATTACATCTATAGCCCTTGAAAAATTTTAAAAAATGCGATATTGTTTAAATTAATATTACTCGATTTCCTGATGGATTCTGTCTTAATCTTACTTTAAATGGAAAACACATAGAGGATGGATTAATATGGGTTAATAAAATTTTGAAATTGAAAGTGGCACAGTAATTTGAAAATACAAAACTTCTTTAAAGTTCTTTTTTGAAAAGTTGCTTTTTTAAAGCTACACTGTCAGTACAGTTTAAGTCTGGATACTGTTTGAAGAAATATAGTATTTGTGATATTTTAACCACCAGAGACAGCAAATTATGGAACAAGATCACATCAAATACCACTGCACTTGATGATCTCTTACCGCCGAGACGTACTAGGCACTTACGCAGCAGGGGCCATGATTACATATTACCTAGAGTTCGTACTTCACGTTTTAAATCCACTTTTGTAAACAGATGTCTTTTTAGCATTGTCTGACACTAGTAGCTAGTTGTACTTTTTTTTATCTTAATTTGTTTCATATTTTATATCTATTGTAAATAAGGCACGGTTGATGCATTATTGGTTTTTTAATAAAGACTATTATTATATTATTATTATTATTACATAAAAAATAATGAAAGCTACAATGCACTCAAACAATGAAGATGTTGCCATTTTCCCTTGTCTTTTAGGCTGCAAGGTTTTTGCAGAATGGGGAGCAATGCGTTATGAAGACTTGGTCAGCAATGACACCCTCGCTGAACTCTACAAGGCAAATGCAGAGAGTTTAGGAGTAACCTTTATTTGTGCAGATTTTTCAGCGTCAACTGACATGGGCAATGTTTCTCATGAAGTTCCCTCGATTCATCCAGTGTATGCTATTGACACTACAGCACCTAATCATTCCCATGCATTTACCACGGCAACAATCACAGAGAAAGCTAACGAGAGGACCTTGATTGCAAGCAAAGCAATGGCTATGACAGCCATTGATGTCTTGTGCAACTCTGATTTGATTGAAAAAGTGAGACAGGACTTTAAAAATTGACTCTTTATTGGGCGATGACTGATGGATTAGCTTGTTCTAAGTGTTTAAACAGTGTGGATGTCATGAAAAAGAGAACATAGAAGAAAGAAAGAAAAGAAGAAACACTTTGCTATTCTTTTTGTGCTTTTCCCCACTATCTAACGCCTGGAACAAACTGGTGATGGTTGCACTCTTCAACAAAGACCGTTGTGAACACAGAACCTTTCAGAAATGGTCCTAGATTTTTGACTGGACTTAGCAGTAGCACTTAGCATTTGTTTTTAGAAACACTTAAACTTGAAAGGACCCCTTTGCCCTCTCCCCCTCCCTTTCACACCTACAATAATGGACTTGCAAGGTAGTTGGTTAATATATCCAACCATGCTTGTACTCTATTTTGTTTCTTCCCAACTAGAATGGCAAAGCTAACGTGCTGTAAATCCTCTATTAAGCCCCCCCCCTCCTTCTCAAATAAGCCCCCTCCCTCTAATAAGCCCCCCCCCCCTTTTCAGGGGAAGAAAGTTAATAAGCCCCCTATCTATTAACCCCCCTCCTCTATTTATTCTTCACTAATAAATGATAGAATGAATTAATCAACCTCGACTGTAAAACTTGGTGTAGACTGCTCCGGGATGGTTTGCTTACCAACTGGAAGATCGGATTTGATTCTGATCCTAGGTTGCATGACCTAAAACTTCTTTTACTTGGTCTTTTCCACTTTACATACTAGTTCTTTATGGAGAACTGATACTATCGTTGTTCTTAAATTAAATAAGCCCCCGTCTCTATTAAGCTTCCCCCCCCCCTCAAATGGGCTTAAAACAAATAAGTCCCGGGGGGGGGGGCTTAATAGAGGATTTAAGGTAGTGAAGAAAAATGCTTTTTTCAGAACAGCAAGATCTACTGTAGTGTGGCGTCAAGAAAGTTTAGTCAAGAAAACTGAGATTACCTTGTGAAATATAATAATTCCTTAAGAGAGTTTTGATTTAATTTAAAGATGTCTCCATGTGGGCAGTAGTCAAAATTATTAAGCAGAAGGCTGTTATGATACATGTAGCTATTGCAATAACTGTCCTTGTGAAACGAGAAATCTGATCAATTCAAAGAGAAACGGAAATTTAACTTATTTTACTGGTTTCTGTCTTTATGTGTACCATTTTATCAGATTATCAATTACTTCTGATCTCACTTTCTTGAGAGGTAGGGGTCTTGTGATCCGCTCTTGAAATTGTGTGATACCGCATCTTTTGGGGTTCCAGTGTTACCCCCTGTTCTGCAACGCCGTTGGTAGATCTTAAAACTGTGTTTAGTTTGCATACACTTTCACAAACTTTCCTTGCTTTCGGGTAGAAGTGGAATTTTAAACCTCCAAACATGTCTTGATTTAACTACAGTATTGAACATTACGCAAACTGGCGATTGTGCGATTGTGTAATCCCCCTATGCCGCTTCGGTTTCGGAAAGGTCCATCTAATTTAAATAAATTTCGTGCTGCTGAGATTGGCCTTTGGGATTTCTCGGGCAGAAATTTTCAAATAAATTACGTCAAAATTCAAGAAAGTTCTAAGACAATGTGGCAGCAACACAGGACAAAGATCCTTCCTACATACGGCTGATTTCTTAGGCCCCGTTTATATGGAGAAAACTTATCCCGAGTAGAAAGGGTACCCTCTTTAGCGAGCGCTCATATTAAAAAAATAAAGGTGATCCCTTTACCCTAGCCAATAGCGCTCGGGCATACTCTGATTGTTTCGAGTTTACCTGGATGGGCGAACCAAAGCAACTTGGCTCGTCTAGGATGATGACCAATTTTTTTTTTCCGAGGAAAGCTTTAAACGTTAATTTCCCAGCAAGCAAAGCCACTTATCCCGGTCAACTGGATGAGACTTTTTGTTTTAGCACTGAAAATACCGAGCTCATGTCTAGGAACGGTAAATCCTTTTCCTACCTCCCTACCACAGCGTACCTGCTGAAGGAGCGTAAGTTGCAAAATGTATACATAATAAACACGCTACCCTGCAGTGTAGACTTAGCGTTACAAGGTCTTTAAAATTAAGGAACAATAGCTGTATTTCCCGGGGTGTATTTCCTCTTGGTCAGTCCCCCAAAAAACTCATCTCTAAAACCGAAAAAATAATCGAGTTTGCCAAGAAGGAATAGCCATACTGCCGGAGTTGGTGAATGTTGCCCCTTTTTGTGGTAACAAAAGTCTTTGATGTTGATATAGTTTAAAAGTTTTACCCTTGGTTCTGTCCCTTCATCAGTTAAGTTCTAACAAGTCTTTGCAAACGATCAAACAAAAGAAAATGGTTTCTTACGTTTAATTTAACCATTGTGGCAAAATGCTTACATCACTACTCAATGATAATTTTGTCCAACCTCGTTCCCAACGTATTTCTTTCGTGAGCCAGCCTTGTTCCCAGGGCCTCTCTTCCGTCGTCTTACGTCACTCTTGAGTCGTGACACAGAAGACGAAAAAAAGGACCCCGGGAACGGAGTTTTTCGTCAACTGCACCATTAATGACGTAGCATGACGCAGTTAACGAGTAAAAAACTCTGGGGGGCGAGGTTGAATTTTGTCTTGACCTAAAACTTGGAAGGGTCTATGGGATCGTCCTTGGTCATTCCTGTCTTGATAGCAATCAATTCCACGGTTGATTCCAGAGACTGCCACACGCGCAAAAGAACGTAGGGATGATGCCTGGGATTGTTAACAAAAACCTGTAGGTAAAATATTTAAACAGTTTTAAAGACCTACCCTTGAGCAAGGCATACAAGCAACTCTCTATTAGCGAACCTTTAGGGTTGAGTTGGCCTTTGCCATTTTTCAGTTGTGTTCTCGCAGACACTCTGCAAGGTATACACAGCTATAAGACGGACAGTTAGCAAGGACTTTTTTTAGGATCCGATGACGGGATAGCAGAAAACGTTGCTTAAAAAGTGAAATTACGTTCTTCCAGTCCTTATCGCGATCATTACTACCCACAATACTTTATGAAAGGTAGGCGAACCCTTATTTTAGCCGGGTTGTTCAACATGTTCAAAGCAGGGTTAAGATAACCCATGGTTAGTGCGAAGTTTAAATTCAAATACGAAAGCTTAAAAAGTAAATTCAGATTAATTCTTTTTGCCTGCAATGTAGTGATTTGATGCTCCTTAAATAAAAGAGAAAATTATCCCAGAAAATACTTTTGAACAGAAAAATAAGAAACCCAGATTAAAATTTAATCCCGGCTTAGCGCTAGGTAAGGTAAGGTAACGCCTTTATTTATAGAGGGTAAACACGTGACAGTTATAATAAAACTGACAAAGTTGTGACCTTCTATAAAACATAGAATCGAATATTAAAATAATTTTACACTGTCGTTATAAAAAGATATGGTAGCTGAGTCAAAACTGAGCAGTTTATCTATAAGTTATACAACCATGAAAATTTTTTCTTAAAACCTTCTCAAGACACAGCTACCCTTAACTGACTGGAGACCGCCCCTCCCCCCCCGCCCCCCACTCCAAAGAATACTCAACCGTCGATAAAGAAGGAAGTGAAAAAAATTGGCAAGGAAATACTGTTTCGTGTAGAATAAATCGCCTCCCCACTTCTTATCTATCTCAAACAAGCGAGACTTAAACGCTTTTAGAGCGTTCTAGTGTTTTTTTTTTTTGAGGTTCTCGTTCGGATCATCGGTAAGTCTCTGATGCTAGTTGCAACGGTGACGTCTAAAGTGAGAGTTGACTGTGTGGGTGGATCATGGACCAGTTGCATAGAAATATAACGGTTTAAAAAAAATAGATATTTTATTGATTACATACATTGTAATACTTACATAATGCATGTACGCTATCACATCTATAACATAAAGAACCTACTACAAGTTCACTATTTCAAAGCAAATGACACTACCTACATTCAATGCTAATACGATGAAAAAAGGTACTACTATGATTACAAAATAATAATATTAATAATACAACGGTGTATTTCAAATACAGCAGAATAACTGAAACTTTTTCCATTAACATTCATGGTCGGCTACTATGTTAACCCGTGAACATAAATGACTTTATTTAAAGATCTTAGAGAAAGGATAGGTGCATTTTAACGACATTCATAAATATGTTGCTTGCGTGTGATTATGAACATGTAATCTTCTTTTCTTTGCTAAAGTCCAAAAGGCATAATCGCTGTTTGAAATTTCCCTTAAGATTATGTCCAGTTCATTACATCTAACTGATAAAGTCCGAACAGAACACATAATGAAAAAATGCTCAAGGGATTCGCTAACTTATTAACTTTGTTAACGTATATGCATACGCCACTTGCACATTTGCCATAATGAATTCGTACCTTATTTGCCCCCCAATATTTTGCAGAAGCATTGTTTTCAGTTTCTCTTGGGACGGCAGAAATACCCGTGAGAAACGAAAAACAAAGGTTATGCAATTTTTAGGGGGAGGGGGGCGTTGAGGGGGGGGGGAAATAAGGTGCATTATGGGAGACGTGCAAGTGGCGCATTTGAATAAATGTAAATATTTGTTCCTGCTTAGCGTGCGTATATCGAGTTATGGATGCACGCGGGAAGTTTGGAGAGCACGAAAGACGCTTAAGAGTTGCACGAAGCGATAGCCGAGTGCAACTCTAGCTTCTTGAGTGCTCTTCAAGCTTCCCAAGTGCATCCATAACTCGATATACGCACAGCTAAAAGCATGAGCAAATTCTTTTATAACACAAGTAGCTGACAAAAATGCTTTCTTTTTAATTAACTGCAAAATTCTCGTAACGCGCGACACAATAACAAACGCTTCTATTGGCTGATTACAAACACGCCACAATCGTCTAGTTTGAATGAAAATCCTTTCTGTAAAACTGAGAAAGAAAATTTGCTTCTTTATTCGTTAACGATCAACGGAAACTAAGCAGAAACAGTAAAAAGAGTCTTAAAGTTTAACTGAAGTTAAAATACTCACATGTTCGGAAGAACTCGTGGAGTATGGTTTGGATATGCTGAAAAGATGTTTACGTTTTGCTCGGCGAAATCCAAAAAACATGTTTTTTAGGGAAGACGAATGTCATCCTTCTTTAAACTTACATTCATTTACGAACATTAGCTGGTCATTACGGCTTCTTGCAGTAGAAATTTTCCTGCTTCAGTGGATTGTTTGGCGATAACAAAAGTGCAAAAGTTTTCGTTACTAAGCCTACTTTATAATTAAATTGTTTTGTAAAGGATAAACAAACGTTAGAAACGGAGGACACTTTATACAAATTGGATATTTTCCGACACAGACCAGTTTCTGGTCTTTTCCCACTTAAATGTCAGCCTTTAAGGCAGACTTTTCAACGAATCATTCAGGCCCTATTATTTGCGAAACATCTTCACCGCTTTTGCTGTTGGTTTAAGTGGCTAGAACGAAGCTAAATTTCAAAACAAATCTAGGAAGTTTTTCATCATTGCCGTCGATTTTTGGTTACTTAGGAAAAGAGACGACAAAACACAGCTGAACACGTCATCATGAAAAAGATCTTTATTTACGCACGGGCGTGCGTAAATAAAGAATTTGTTCATAGCGGCGCAATAGGACTTATATAAAGGTAAGCACGCGCGCTATGTTATTTGATATAAACACGAGAGGGGTTGGGAGAATTCGAGACAGTTATGCAAACCCGAGACGAAGTCGAGGGTTTGTATAACTGTCGAGAATTCTCCCAACGCCTCGGCATATCAGGCTATGCAAACACAGGAAAAAGGCAAAGTCTTGTCCACGAAGTCTTGCACGCGTAATCAGTTCTTGTTTTGCAAAAAGATGCTTTCCAAAATACGGACTTTTCTCGCTTAAAATGTCAGCTTAAGCGAAAAAAGATTGACACACTTTCTTTGCAAAGATTTTCCAAGTTTCAGCCGATGAAGGAATGGGTAAATAAAGTACACTTGTCGAGTTTTGAACTTAAAAACTCTTTCAAATTCATGCTTGCGTGATTAGCGCGCAACCCGGGGGGGGGGGTACTCCCTTACAAGAGCCTAATGGGGATGTGCCGCTGGATGGGGTCGCATTTTCACGACTGGAGTGACTATAATGGGGTCGCATTTTCAATAGAGTTACTAGAATGAGGTCGCAAATTCTCGAATTTTGGGGGTAAGTAGGGAAACAAAATGGGAAGATTCTCAGTTAAAAAGATCAGAAAGTTGTTTATTAAATTGAACAATAAAAAAGTGACTAAGATGGGGTCTATAATTGGCCAAAAAATAGACTAAAATGGGGTGGGAGCTCTGAGAGGCCAGCGGCACATACCCAGCAAACATTAACCCAAGTACCCCCGGGGCGCGCAAAAAGCAAAACATCTTGACGCCACAACCATGTTGACATACTCTCATGCAAACACTCCTCTCAGCCAATCAGAGCGCGTGTACTATCTTAGTTATACTCCGCGGGTCAGCGCTATTAGACCATATCTTGTATACAGTATGTTGTGGTTCAATTTTATCCTTGGTTCAAGTTTTATTTTCCTTTGTTTTTGGGTATGGTAACGTATGATAATGAGTTTAAAACAAAAGGAAATAAAATTTAAACCAAGGATAAAACTGAACCACAACATATATTTATGTGAATGTGTGAGTCAAGTATGAAACAGATTGTTGGAAAAATTCAACTTACTTGCGAGGCCCAGAAGACGCAAATAAACAATATAAACCATATTTCTTTTCTTTGATTGTCGAATTTTGATTCAATATTACTTATGAGTTTTATGCACTTCACATTCATGAGCAAGACCAATTGACTGGAAAGCCGTGTTATGAAAATATCAGTGATTATGGAAACAGATTACGCTTGAATTAACTTCATAACAGGAGTCATTATGCAATTAAATAATAATTGGCTCCCCCTTTCCTCTAACCCGCCTCCTTCGTGAAGTGGGACCGACTGCACAGCCGGCGTACATTGTTACTGGGAACGTTCTTGACTAACCTTAATGAGGTAATTTGTTCCTTGCACAAGTTGACTTCTATATGACATGGATTCAAATATTGGAAAGTCTTGGTGTGCCATTTCCTCTGCTTTGGACTTCACCTGTCCGAGAGACAAGTTGAAGTTATTTTTCACCCTGTTAGTAAAGAGGTGCGAAAAACTAAATACCGTTAAGTCCGAGTCATATGCACCCTAACTATACGTCCCTTCACCTCTTCTCTGATAGTATCATCTACCGATTTACAATAATTGAATATTCCGGCTATATTAGAAAGCCTTCTACTCACATTTTTGCCTTTTTAGTCTCGCTTGCTTTAGCGGGGAGACTCAGAAAATGCAAGCGTTTCTTCTTTTTTTTCTTTCGTGTTTGGGCCCTCTAAGGGGGGTCATAGTCCGAGGCGTTCGTAGCATAGACCGTGGAAACTGGGGATAAGTATCTCTGCGTGACAAAAGCCATGCAGTGAAGATTAATGCGAATGATGCAGAGCTTTTCCGGAACGGGTCGGTCTACGAATTCTATCGCTTGAAAGTGTCGATTATTTTGGAACAAGTGAATACTTCAGTGGTTGAAATAAAGGAGAAAAAAATTTCGATGGAGAAGTTATGTAAACTTTCAGTGTATGCAAATGAGTCTTGTGATGATCATGCGGTTTATTTTCGGCGATGTTGAAATGACGCGCTATGTTGATCACGTTTCGCCAAAAACGATTCAAAAAGATTACTCGACAGTCGATAAAAAAGGGACATAAAAAACTTATAGCAAGGAAATCCTGTTTCGTGTAGGAAGCCACATTGTTGCAAGGCGAAGAGTTCGAAAGCAAGTGAATTTAAACTCCCGTGAATTGAGGAATCGACGTTTTATGGCAGATTCACTATTTTTGTGTGTGTATTTAATTGAGAATTTTAATGGGGTTAACCGATAGGCGTAAAGCGGCCAAAAATTTATTCGATAGCCGTAGAAATTGAAAAATTTTAACCGTTAGCCGTAAATAGGGTAAAAAAGTTAACCGTAAAAGAAATTGTTCCCTAGATTTGTTAATTTTAAGGAAGGTGCTAAACTCATTTATGCGTTGTTTATTTTCCGGCTACTTTGACTCCGCGCGCACGTTAGGCTAAGCGCCTCAAGTTGTGACCTAGACCTAGACTCCATTTCCGCTGCTCTTTCGAGGAACTAATTTTTTGCATAGCGAAAATCTGGCTTCTTGCTGGGGATTAAAATTTGCGATTTTCAGGAGGTCGTGCCCTCGAAATACTAGTGAAACAACACCCAGAGATGTCACTGTTTGTAAAACACGTTGCCGATAAACAACAATTCCCTGTTTTTCTCTGACGCTAAGGTAGACATTGCCATGCCTAGTCCCTGTTCGGCGTCTTCCCACGCAATCTCGGTGAAGGCATGTCGGTGGCGTATCTGAGAAAAAAAACTCGCTGGGACCACGTGACCCGAAACGCATTAGCCGCGCGGAATAACGAGGCCTATGGACAAGGCAACGGCTGACAGTCTTTCTGTACAGTCCTTCACTATCATTAAAAAAACGGGACAAGGGAATTTTGTTATTGGCCGTTTTCAAACTAGAGCTAGAAATGGATTATCCTTGTGAGACTGGCTTGTGCACAGTCGCCCCCTCCCCCACAGACACCCCTTTCCCGATTTTTCTGAGGGGAGGGGGCGGCTGTACACAGGCTATCAGAAACGGATAATCCAGCTTCAAACTGTCCGTCAAAATTGACGGATAAAGTCAGGTGGATTGTTCATTCAAAATTAAAACCCTTTCCATTTCAAATTAAGAAGTATTACCTATCTGACGCGAATTTTCAAACGAATAACCCACCTCCCACGAATAATCCGTCTCTAGTGTGAAAACGGCCATTTTTGTGTCTTGAGTTGCGAGTCCGCGTGTCTGCTTTTGCTTTTTCACAAAGATTATTTTTAAATTGACTATTGACATTTCTATGCGTAAAATAGTATTAGAAATGGATTACTTTATAAATAGTAGAAGTACCAAATGTTAAAACTTCTCAAAAGAATAACTTCATTTTATTCCGAGATGATCCTAGGACCGTTATTTTGCTTTGAAGATACAAAAAATAGGTGAGCACAGGAGCCCATCAAATTGATAGGCTCTTGGTGAGCACCAGCATGGCGTCTCCATACAAATCTCTATAAATTTGGGTAAAACATTTGTTCGGATATCTCGTATACGAAATATACCGCTGACCTGAATCTTGGCGAGGGTCTTTGTATATGTACCTCCTTTCATTTCCCAGATTCTGGACTTTACCTATTGAACGGTTTTGATTTTTATTTTGATCTATTTTGAATCGCGTGACACTGAAAACCAGCAATTTGGAGAATATTTGCGAAGCTGAACAACCCTAAACGTGCACTATCGAAGATGAACGTAACATCGATGGATCGATGGAGGTAAGCATGTTTTAGACATAATTTTAAACTAGGAATTATTTTGAATGAATAATAAAACAATTATTGAATTCGGCTTCCGTATCATATGAAAAATTATGGATATCTCGGAGGGTGTTATCCATCGAGGCCGTATAACACCCTCCTCGATAATTCTTCATAAGATACTCAGCCTCATTCATTAATTGTTAAATAATAAATTCTTTATTATGTTGAAGCGTAACTCTATTAAAGTTCATTCAAACACTCGACCACACTGACAGCTCGCACTAGAAATGAGAACCGGCTGGCCGTATGGGTGATTTTGGAAGTTTTTTGAACGGTTTCGCTAAAAGCCCACGATTGATCGTCCTGAATATTGACTGAGTACAATTTGTCTCGAAAAATTATGAAATACCGCATTCTGTCCGAGGTCTGTGTGATAAATAGTACTGTTTCAGCTCAGTTGTGAGGTTTGCAAGAATTTGTAAAGTAAAAAAATTTGCAAAAAAATTCGGCCTGATTTGTTTTCCAAGAATTTGTTTTCCAGGCCAAATCTACTGTGATCAAGAGCCATTATGGCTCTTGTGACATCGAAGATGTTTGCTATTTTTGGGGTGTACATATAAGGCTATCAACTCGATGTAAGATGTTTCACTCTAAAATACCTTAGCCTTTCCCTCAAAACTCACATGAATGTGCCCTTAAGTTAACTGATTTGTGGATTACAAGTTTATTGTTTGACTTAAATTATAGATTTATTAATTGGAGCTTCGCTTTTAGCCCTAGCTAAAACTATATATTAGGCTTTACAGATATTTCATATAATTCATTATAGTTATTGTATTTTTATATATATTTTTAAATTCATGTAAAGTGCTTTTGATCATTTTAATGTTAAAAAGCGCTATATTAAGTGAATAAATTATTATTGTTGTTATTATTATTATTATTATTATTATATTTTTAGCCAATTTTATTGACCATCCTACAGTACAAAAGAATATCTTGACGATCATAGTGTTTGAGCTGCTGTTACTTACATGTGCTTTACTTGGAGGTTTAGCCAAGTAAATGTAAAAAATACAGGAAGATGTTGCATTTTTGAGGATAAATGAAATAGTAACGAATTGTAAAGTGGGAGGATAAACAATAGCAATGAAAAAGACAGCTTCTGACATTCATATTGATAAAAGTGTTTGATTTCGATTTTTTTTCTGGTTTGGGTGTTAAGCCAAAACAGAATAATGTTATCGGGGAAACAAGGCATTTCGAAGTTAAGTCGAGAAGGGCAATAATAGATTATAGATGTTACAAAAAAAAAAAAGTTTACGTGAGGAGGGTACCACATTATGCTACAGCTTAAACTAATACCTGGTCGCAAATCTTTTGAACCTTTCCATCGGCCACTTTCAGGTCGCTCCATCCACCAACTTCAACCTGGGTAGACATGTTGTCTAGAAGTTTTTTAAGTCAGAAGTCCGTCTGAGAAATTCCCAACGAGGACTGATAAAAAGCGAGATAACTCAAGATCAGTTAAATTCACAACTGATTGGTGGCATGACATATGACGTAAGGATTAGTTTCTTGGAATGCGGAATATAGTTTTGTTTTTGATTAAGGGGTTTCCCGTAAAGTGTCAAGTTTTTATTTGCCATGCCAGGACTTGTGATTTTAAAGAAAATTTAAAATCCCGTGAACTGTGAACGACACGGCAGTCGTGATACGTGAAACAAAGAAATTATTTTCCGATATCGTCGTGATAACTGACGACAAAACGCATTGTTTATAGTAAAAACATTCTCGTCGAAGACCTACGAGGGCTACAAAGCAATACCCCAGGGGTGGGGTACTCCCTTATATAAGCTATATAGGTATGTGCCGCCCCATCGGGTAGGGTTTTTGCGCCGTTTTGGTCTGAAAACGAGTATACACTTTGGCCATTTTGGTCTGGAATCGGGTATGGTTTTCGGGGGAAATACAGGAGTGTATGATCGAATAATTTATCCGTTGCAATTCCAAATGAGTAAGAAAGAGAGAGAAATATGCGAATTCGATTTGATTTGATGAATTTGTTTGTTTGCGCTCTAATCTAAGTAATGATAACATAATTTCTGCCTAAAGGCCAGGTCTGAAAACAGGTATGGATTTTAGAGGACTGGTCTGAAAACGGGTGCGGAAAATGACAGAATTCCTAGGAGTAACCCCCCGGGGCAATGCTAAGCGGAAGAACTGTTAAAATTTGATCGTAGTTCGCAGCCCTGCATGAAAATTGAATAAATCAAACAGAATGGCCTCAATGTACAATATGACAAAGATTTAGAGTGGAACAAAACATATGGTGAAAAGACTTGAACAAAATCTGTATAAACAGATTTGAAAATCCACGCACAATAATAGAGAGTAAAACATTTGTTCGTGGACTGTTTCTTTGGTCTACAAAATTAGATTATTTAAAGATCTGCAAACATCTCTTAACTGCCAAAGCTGTTGTTTGACAACCTGAGGTTTTCTTTCTGAGTACTTACGTATTGCAGCTTCTCAGTTGGTGAGAATCTGATAAGTATAGTTGCAGCAAGCAGCTCCGTAAGCTAAAAGCAATTAGGAGTTGAGTGGCCCATTTTATAGCACAATAGAGAGGAGAAGGCGTTACGTCACGTTGCCATGATAGCATAATTTCCAGATGACAACAATGCGAAAGCGTCACTTAAAAAGTGAATTCGCACTGATTCGAACTTCATCGATCGATCTTATTCAGTTTCATTTAATTTGTAAAATCTTGGCGAAATTGTTTGGTGTTGAATCCGAAAGGACCGTATCCGAGTTTAGTTTAAGAAAAAGAAAATTCTTGTGTTGTGTTCACCAACTCCACTAAAGTGTTTGCGTGAAATTAGGAAGTTTCAAGTTGCAAACGACGGCTAAGAAATGTACAAAAAAAAAGCGCGATTGTTGCTTTGCTAAAATAGACCGATTGCTTTTTAGTCGTTCTAGTTGCCGTCGCCGTCGTTGTTGCTTAAGTTCCCCACTTTTGTGATCCAGAAATGTTGCTACCATGCATGGAAACGTGACGTTACTTCTCCTCTCTATTCAATAATGATGCAGGGAACGGGAAAGTCGTTAAGTTCAGGGAGTTGTAAAATGAAATTATGTCAAAGACATTTCACGTTCTGCGAAAAGGCTAAAAAGAGTCAGTAGACTTTTAAGAAATTTAATGGATGCCTGCAACTTACAACCTGAATCAGCTTTGTTTGCTTGAACAAAGAATGACTAGTCAACATGGTCAATGATGAATGACGGCTCTGCACTGCCGAAAGCCAATATCAGTGACCGCAAATCAGTCCGCGAAAGTAGTTTCTGCTAATTGACTTCAAGGACCTAAAAAGTTAGCAATAAGTGGTAATCACTTAGTTTAGTTTGAGAATCTGAAGTTAAAGCGTAGTTGCAGCAAGTTTCGAAGACTTCAATCAAGAGAGAGTGGCTCATTTTATAGCACAATTTAATAATAATGCAGGGCACGTGAAATTCATAACTTCGTAAAAGTGTTCCGGGTTTTACAGACACCCCAAAATATTTAATAGGGAGCATCAAATAAGGCAGTCGAAAAAAGTCGCGCCTAAAGGAAAAGAATAAACATCGTCATCGCAATATAATGTTTATAAACGTACATGTGATGTGTCTACGCGCGCATGTATGGCTCTATAAACAAGGCATCCGTAGGTAAAGGATGACCTCGACTCACAACCTGAATCAACTTTGTTTGCTTGAACAAAGAGTGGCTATTTTGAGCAAACCGGTCAAGGTTATTCTGCTAGGAAAGCCAACATCTATGACCGCAAATCAGTCAACGTGAGTAGTTTCTGCTGATTGACTTCAAGGAACTAAAAAGTTAGCAGTAAGTTTTAATCACTTACTTCGTTTGTACGAGAATCTGAAAAGTTGCAGCAAACAGCTTCGTAGACTTTAATCAAGAGAGAGTGAATTATTTTATAGCACAATTTTACTAAAGATGCAAGGCACGGGGAAGTCATGACGTCATAAAACCAAAGTACGTTTAACACATTTCACGTTCTTAGAACATACTGGAAAAAGTCAACAGACCTTAAAGAAAAACTAATGGATGACTGCAACTCACAACCTGCATGAATTAGCTTTGTTTGCTTGAGCTATTTTGAACAAATCGGTCGAGGTGATTCAGTGATGACTGCAAATCAGACCACGTAATTAGTTTTTGCTAATTGAGTTTACTTACCAAAAATAGGAACTAATTACATACACTGCTTCTTGTTTAATTCATGTTCGAAAAAGTAAACCTTTGCCCAGCTAAGAGAAGTTGAAAACATTATTTATATTCACACAAAGTCAAAAGAGTAGGCAAAACGTTGTTATGTAAATCCGTAGATAGATAATAGCATCGGCAGTAAAAACAAAGCTATATAAATTTGTTTTTCGTAAGTGCGCTCCTCGTTTTTTGAGCACTACAGAATCGTCGTTCAGTTACATCTTTAATTTGTTTCCGCCCTCAAATTAAACAAGTTAATAGGCCTTTTTATCTTGTAGGTTTTCTTTTTCCAATTCAGGCTACGTCCACAGGAATCCAGATTTTTGTGAAACCGCATACCTTTTTTTTACACGAATCGGCCTTCACGCATAAACTATTTTCTTAAATTAAAAAAAAAAAAAAACATAGCAGTAAGAAGCCTTTTCGACGATTTGGTACCATTTATTCATCAATAGACACCTCTTAGCCAATGTTTTACTCTTTCGTGTTATCCTTCTTGCTGGGGAAATTTCGATCACGCTTATCGCCGGCTTTGGACTTGTCAGCGACTTCTCCTCTCGTTTATTGTCTCCTCGTTGTTCATTGATCTCCCTGTGTAGAAATATCAGAAAGCCGGATTCTCAACCCTAACATCAAAATCTCATTTAATGTCGCTATTCATTTTCTTTAGAAGTAGTGGGGCGAATTTGCTGATCAAGTAGATTCATCTTCAAGTGGTCATAGCATGTCCTTAAGTCTCAAGACCTCTCTTTTTTATAGAGCCTTTATATCACAGGTCTTACAGGGATAAATTTTCAGCTTATCACTTTCATTTGGCCGGGGTTTAGAGTACCGTAAGACCTGCGTAAATCGCTTCATCTTTACCAATTGCAATAAACTAATTCGAATTCCCGAACGCTCAATTGATTGTACAAGCGCATTAATGTTTGTCTTATCCATTCTAAAGCTTACCAGGAATGCTATTGAATTACAAACTGTGTCGTAAAAATGTTAATGAATAGAATGTTTGTCTATTGTCCCAAATGATTTTCAAGAAAATGTTAATTATGACTCGAATGCCAGTTGGCGTTAATGAAAGTATATTTTTCTCTTTTGTATGTCGAATGACGCAGATGAATGCCCAAAAATGTTATTGAATGTTGATTAAAATGCAAAAATCGTTATTGAATCTGATTTATGTGCAAATGTTCGCTCTTTCGCGCTAATGAATGTATCTTCGCGCTGTTGCATTGGTCGCCGTTTCACGCAAATGAATGCGTATTTTCTTTTAATGAACAGCAAAAGGTGTACTATAGGATATGAACCGTATTGAAAGGTAATTACGTAACCTAAGACGTCTGCAACATCATGACGCCGAAATCGCAATCAATGCAATGTGGTACAAATACTCTGGAATAAATTGTTTTCAAGAGAACGTGAGGTGAGAAGACCATCGGTTACTGTTCACTTGGAAACACGTATTTCTCGGGTTTTTCTACATGTAACTAACGGTCACCGCCTCAGTTTTCTATACCCTGCTTGCAAAAGTTTGAATGTAACTAAGAATTCAATACCTTGGGTATCCTCAGGCCGCTTAAGGAATGACTAGGTACCTAATTTTAAAGAGGCAGTCTCCCTAAAAGCGTTCCACTCGATTTCGGACTCGACAAAACTTTTGCCTTATATTTTTATCATCAATACTACTATATCCATCCTAATAACGAAATTGCAGTTAGAATGAGGAAATTGTTTATTTTACCGCCATTCCCAGCATTTCTTTGCTGGACGACCGTTAGCGGCTAAAATATGCAAATTTTACATGCTGTTTCACAGGTTTTTAAACTGTCGTTCAAAAGTACTTCGGGTCATCAAATCCTAGACTATTTGCACTCAATTGGAAGCATATTACTTCTTCTTATTGCTCCAGTACCATTTAGGTACTATCTTTCCGTAATCAGTGCAAACTGGTCGTCTTTATTTCACTAATCCAATTAAGAAAGCCGAATGCACGAATAAATGCCTCAAAAACATGACAATGTTTTCCAATGTGGCACTTAAGCCAGACCTAAAAACATGTTTCAGTTAAAGATTAAGAGCTAGTTTGTCAAGTTATGTAATAAAACTTATGGCACAACGCGATTCAGAGTAGAAGGATTCGACTTAAATTTGCATATTGGTGCTGAATTCGCATTGCGTGACGCCGGCTGCTGTGATAGTAAAAAAATTCTTCATGATCCTACAAATGACAATTTTTCTGTTTTTTTAACTTTATCAACAAGAAAACGGATCTGAAATAGGTTAAGCATATAGAAGATTAAGTTTACTTTTCTACTAACCTTCGTATTAATAGTCTCGGTCGGCCGAGAGTTGTAGGCCAGTAGTTGGCCTTCTTGGTAAGAGTGGGTCGGGAAAAATACGCATTGCTCCCTACCCCACCCCCTCGCCCTTTTTCCTACTCGCATCTCTCTGAGGGTCGCCCCCACAATCTGAGCGCCTGGAAAAGGCTATCCGACATACTTCAGTCGCGTTCTAAACGAACATTTTTGTTTTAGAGATACTATGGTTGGCCATCCGTTTCAAAATTATGACATCGTGTAGGTGGGCTTTTTTGCCGCGTATAATCGTTTATAATCGCTATGTATGGGCTTTTATCCCATATACAACCATTTATATCGCGTATATACGCGTATTTAATACGCGTATATGTGCAAAATCAAATGCACGTCTATACGCGTTGCTAAAAACCCGTATATATGCGTACCTGTCAAGGCCCACGTATACGCGTGCAAAAATGTGCATATACGCGGGGTTCAGAAATCAGACTTGGTATAAGATGGCACGAAAAGTGCCTCTAACGGAATAGGTTTCATGTATCGTGGCAATGAAAAGTGCCTTTCGCAATGCAAACATGGCTTCCTCTCTAGCTCTTGTAGTGATATGTATCTTGTCAACTAGTTCTTACAGTTCTCCCACAACGGATCTTCTGGAGACGGTTTCTCGTCTATTAAGGGGTTGCTCCAGGTTTTATCCACACGCCGATCGAAACATGGCTGAAAACTTGGTAGTCCGCCTTCAGGTAGCTGTCGATTCAGTTCGTCGTTTGGTAGAGTCGTTGGACCCAGACGATCAAGGAAATGATGTCAGAATACCAGAGCTTGAATCACTGTTGAGGCAACTTCAATACTTATTAAACAGATGGGAGATGCTGGCAATAAGAGCAAGTTCTTGCACGACAGTTCGCCCCATAAGGACTTTGCCAGGTTGGTCAGGTCCTATAAATCAAAGAGCGGGTCGTCCGGCCTACGAAATTTCTACACATCAGTTGGAGTTTCTAAGAAACAGAATGAGATTTAATTGGTCCCAGATATCAAGAATGTTATTAGTTTCTAGAACTACCCTTTGGCGCAGAATTAGAAACCTGGAGTCATTTTCCAGTCGACATTATTATACAGCCATCACGGATTCAGATTTAGATGAATTAATTCGAGGTTTAAGACAAGGATTTCCAAATTCTGGTATCAGTATGATGCTGGGACATTTGCGAAGTAGAAATATTTTTGTGCAGCGTCAGCGTGTTAGGGAAAGTTTGGTTCGAACTGACCCTGCAGGGAGTGCAATGAGGTGGTTTAACACTGTCACAAGGCGTGTTTACAGTGTCCGAAGACCTAATTCTCTCTGGCACATTGATGGACTGCATTGTCTGATCCGTTGGAGGTTCGTCATACATGGAGGTATCGATGGGTTTTCCAGACTTATAGTGTATTTAAGTTGTGCTACAAATAACTATGCCTCCACTGTGCTTGCGAATGTAATAATATTATTACATTCGGTTTTTGTGATATCTGAAATAATCGAGGTCTTAGGTGTTATCAGCTGAAGCCAATTACATTTTCCTTGCCTTTGCTTATTCTGGTCATCACAAAAACCTCATCCAATAATTGTTTATAATTCTTTGTGAGAGGCCTATTCACTAAATGTACAGCATACATGTTTCCATTTGTTATTTTGGTTTTGATTTTAACATGACATGATGTACCTTAATTCTGGTGTGCTTGCATAAGTGCCAAAATAAGTTGCTGAGTTTCCAAGTAGAGATCCACCCCATAGTTATCACTCACTGACAGAGGTTGAATATGAGAAATAGCTCCAAGTTCTGTGTCAGTTAATGGAATGTTTGTATCTGGTACAACCACACTACCCAGGTCAAACTCATTTGGTGCAGGTCCCGTTGGATCTTCACCATATAACTCATCTGCCTGGCTGTTGTCATCAAATATGTCCCTGACTGTAGTATTCCCAGAATTATCTTGTGAAATAACACCATTTACCCAGATCTGGCAAGGAGTCCAATGACCTTCTGTGCGTACAGGATGATTATTCCATGCTTCAACTAGGAGATTTAACTGGTGGTTTATTCTTGGAAGAAATATGTAATGTAAACAGAACACATCTATAACACTTGTTGATTCCAGGATACCATTTTCTTCCATTTGGTAAAACAGAGTGTAGAAGAAGTGACCAACTCCTATAAAGACATCTCTCCACAGTCGCTCAATCCTTTGATTGTGTACAGAGAGTCCAGCAATCATGCTTCCCCTGTTCAACCCTCTTTGCCTAAGCATAGCTCTTGCTACGTCTAGATTTTCACCCCCTTTGTCTGAACGTACTCTAGAGGGCCATCCATATCTCTGCACAGCTGCTAAGAAGAGGGCAAGCACAGTCGAGGCATAGTTATTTGTAGCACAACTTAAATACACTATAAGTCTGGAAAACCCATCGATACCTCCATGTATGACGAACCTCCAACGGATCAGACAATGCAGTCCATCAATGTGCCAGAGAGAATTAGGTCCTCGGACACTGTAAACACGCCTTGTGATAGTGTTAAACCACCTCATTGCACTCCCTGCAGGGTCAGTTCGAACCAACTTTCCCTAACACGCTGACGCTGCACAAAAATATTTCTACTTCGCAAATGTCCCAGCATCATACTGATACCAGAATTTGGAAATCCTTGTCTTAAACCTCGAATTAATTCATCTAAATCTGAATCCGTGATGGCTGTATAATGATGTCGACTGGAAAATGACTCCAGGTTTCTAATTCTGCGCCAAAGGGTATTTCTAGAAACTAATAACATTCTTGATATCTGGGACCAATTAAATCTCATTCTGTTTCTTAGAAACTCCAACTGATGTGTAGAAATTTCGTAGGCCGGACGACCCGCTCTTTGATTTATAGGACCTGACAAACCTGGCAAAGTCCTTATGGGGCGAACTGTCGTGCAAGAACTTGCTCTTATTGCCAGCATCTCCCATCTGTTTAATAAATATTGAAGTTGCCTCAACAGTGATTCAAGCTCTGGTATTCTGACATCATTTCCTTGATCGTCTGGGTCCAACGACTCTACCAAACGACGAACTGAATCGACAGCTACCTAAAGGCGGACTACCAAGTTTTCAGCCATGTTTCGATCGGCGTGTGGATACAACCTGGAGCAATCCCTTAATAGACGAGAAACCGTCTCCAGAAGATCCGTTGTGGGAGAACTGTAAGAACTAGTTGACAAGATACATATCACTACAAAAGCTAGAGAGGAAGCCATGTTTGCATTGCGAAAGGCACTTTTCATTGCCACGATACATGAAACCTATTCCGTTAGAGGCACTTTTCGTGCCATCTTATACCAAGTCTGATTTCTGAACCCCGCGTATATGCACATTTTTGCACGCGTATACGTGGGCCTTGACAGGTACGCATATATACGGGTTTTTAGCAACGCGTATAGACGTGCATTTGATTTTGCATATATACGCGTATTAAATACGCGTATTTACGCGATATAAATGGTTGTATATGGGATAAAAGCCCATACATAGCGATTATAAACGATTATACGCGGCAAAAAAGCCCACCTACACGATGTCATAATTTTGAAACGGGTGGCCAACCATAAGATACTGCATTAACGAGAACCATGCTTCTCCTGTCTAGTGACATTTTGCAACGGGAAGGTCCTTCACACATTCACCTTTACACTATATATGTGGGACGAGGGTGCAAGGTAGTCCTTGCAGAAAAATTAAGAAAATATGGACTGGAGTTCAAAGAAGTAAAATCAACAACTAGAATATGGTATCCGCTGTTCACTTCTACGCCACAATAAGTATCGTACTCGTAAATTCTTATCAAGTAAACTGTTATTTGCCCTTAAAACAGTGAAATCAGCTGTGAAATGTACATCGTGTTAAGTTAGTGTCCGGATATCTTTAGGAATTTTATATTAGTATAAATTATTAGATGTATAAATCTACCGGCCTTCGATCACAAATCGATTGTCTATGCACAATACTAGTGCTATACTGGTAATGCAGTACGCTATCAACTCCGAGACGGACAGTGAGTGAAGCAACTGAGTAGCCTGACAGTGTTCGGTTGTAACCTGTTCAAACCACCACTAAATAAAACCGTTAGCCTGCCTAGTTGTTAAGTTTTGAACCACTAGCGGATTTATATTTGACTATTTTAGGGAAATTTGTACCAGGCCTTCGCTTCCTCGCATGCAATCTCGCTCGTTTTTTGTTTTATTTTGCTTTTTGTTTTTGTTTTTTCGTAAGGTTCGGGAATTTCTGTAACACGTGCATCGCATATCAGTCATTTAAGCATAAATACTAACTAAGTATTTGAATCTTTATATTCTTTGTCATAGCATCTCGATATGCAGACATAAGCAATAATAAGACCCTCTCAGTTGGCTCAACAAGATTGTCCCCGGTAGGCTGGTGTATCAAATGAGCACCGCACCGGAGTCGCAAAAACGAAATGATAAACGCGGAGGCGCCAAATTTAGTAAAATCGATATTAATATGAATTTGGATCCACAAGGAGGGTCCAAAGGCCATTTTTTAAAAATGTGATCCTAGATCCTTCAGATGTTCAGGCGTATGTATTTTTACAGCATTAACATCGTAGAATGCAAGCGTCTGTAAGAACAGGGTAATAACCCGCTAACAAGACGTGAGAGGAGAAAAGACGTGAAAACAGTGTAGGGGTCTCGACCTGGAGAAATGTAGCCTGATTCTCAGACGTTCGAGGTAGTTCGCGGTCCCTTTCACTTCCCTCCCTCTTCTCCTCCCTAGGGAGAGGGAGGGAAGCGAAAGGGACCGCGAACGACCTCGAACGTCTGAGAATCAGGCTAGGAGAAATGTTCATGTTGGGGAAACCATCGACAAGGCCGGATTCAGACTCAGTTCTCACCTCTTGTCACAAATTATGTGTGATAAACCAGTTCTCTGAAGCTTTAATTCTTCACTGCCTTGAAAGTATATTTCTTCACATGTTCATATTCTAGAATTCTGTACTCTGTTCTACACCTAAAGGATTCATCGACATCAATTCGCCTAAAATTTCGATGATCTACACTCAATCTACACACGCGATAATCGAACGACTACACAGTTCCAAGACTCTCGTGCAAAGTTCAGTTCTCAGATCATGTGACGAGTTTTCCCGCCACAATGACGCAATAATTTTCTAACACCTCTACTGATTGTTCGAATCCAGAGGTATTCGACCACGTTGGGCTTTCAACAGAAAATTCTGTCGGTGAAAACAATTGAGTGCTCTCAGTAATATGACTAGGGGTAAGGGGTTCGTAATCACGATTTTGACTTGCAATTTAACTTCGTCTCCACAAGATAGTACACGATCTTCGCAATCTCCAAACTAATGACACACCTGTCATGTCCTTCTTACTAATATTCCTTTCTTGCTCCTCTATGCGAAGAACGAGGTGGCCGCCAAAATCGTCGTCCGAATTTATATGTCGATGTTGTGGGTAATCCCCGGGAGGACTCCCATATAAAAGTGAAGGGGATGCTCGTGGGAAAATTAAAATTAAACCCCCGAGGGAGGCCAATGTGGGTGTGGCTCAAGCTTAAACGGACCCTTAAAGAAGATTTCTGTGAGGTCAGTGTCACGGCCTTTTTTGCAAATTTCTTTATGCACAGCCCTAAGCGAAACCTGAATGAGCATATTTAGTCACTTTCCGTCCCAAACACCCTAAGTGAGACCAAAATCTGCAAACGATGAGCACCCGCGTCACTTTTGTGTGGGAGTCGCCCCGGGGAAGCAAATCACCATCTGTTCCACTTAATTTTTGGTAGGGTCAATGATTACCGTCTCTTGAGAGTATTAATTGGCTTTGCTTCACTCAGTTCAGACTTCATGGTGAGAAGTAGTGGTGTCGTGCTGACATTTGTGTACTTTTATCAGTTGGGAGAAACAGCGTGAACTTCCACACTTTATTTTCTTACTTTCACTGAAGTTGCACAATTCGAAATTAACGTTGAAACTTTATTATTTGCATGTGCCAACTTCTTTATTAATTGGCTGTGATACAAATGTAGCCTTGAACTCCGGACTGTCCCTAGGAGCGTGAAATCTAAAGCTGACCACTCCTGATTGGAAGAAACAGTCAGTAAAAGGAAGAAACCTTCTAATTGAAATTTCATTAACAAAGGTCTTCAAATTTGCTCTAAAATGTGGGCTCCTGATCAGTGGAAGGTAAATAAAGGAAAAATAGTAACTCGCCGTTCGCAGTCCAGTACTATGGCCCCATGTTAAGGAATACAAGGCAGTCTTGGATTCTGGATCCCATTCCATGGATTGTGGATTCCGATTGCTGGATTCCAGTCTTTTTCAGTGGAACGTGGATTCTGGATTCCATTCCTTAGTGGGATTTCGGAGTACTTGAGTTCTATTCTGGATTCCAGATTCCACGAGCAAAAAATTTCCCTGATTTTGGATTCTACAAGCAAGAATTTCCCAGATTCTGGAATCCGGATACCCTTACATGGGGCGAAGTATTAGTCAAACAAATGCTATTTAGAACGGTTTGCTTCCATCAGTGATCCTGAAAAGTGAACTTACTACAAATGGCGCAACGAAAAAAACACGTGAAACGTGATTTCAAATAACACGTGACATTGCTTCCTCAATGACGTCACAAAACACGTTTTCCTAAATGGGGAAGGGAGAGATAAACTTACATGAAGTTATAACCTTCAGATTAAGTTAATATAGCGAATTTAAGGGCGAATAATTGGCAAAACTTAAAAAAAATGGACGTCACACAGCCCTAAAGGCTTTTGCCTTCCCCTGTTTATTGTTTTTTTAACTATGCATTTTCTATGGCATCAGTAGATTCCAGGTAGCTTCAGCTAAGTTGTTGTCTCCAACCATCGCAACTATAAGAAGACAAACTAAGCAAGCCAAGTAACCATATCTGATGGTAGCCCGGAACGTTACACGTTATCTAAGCTGGCTTAAGTTTAAGCAGTATTCCTGCGCGCAAGCATTGCCTGCTCTCTCAAACTCGCACGCATTCTCTCTCACTTACAGTCACTCATACAAACACGACCAAAAAGAGATAAAAATTGAAGTAAAGTCACAAAAACATCAAGAACAGTTAACTTACATTAATGGAAAGAGCTGCAGGAATCTCCGAACCAAGTTTACAACCGTGCCTAGAACCGGTCTCACTGCACACCGTTGACGAGATAACTGTGCTGTGGGTTTTACTTTTTGTACCCTTGTCTTTCTTTTTTTGGCATTAAGGGAGCAGAAGCGAGTTTGCCGAAAAGCCGATGAGACGATGCAGCAAGAAAACAATTATGTTCAGTCCATCGGTTAGCCTTCCGAGAGGCCTAGGAAGGTGTAATTCATGTGGTGGTAGTATGATAGTAGTAGCCTGGGTAGTATAAGCGGCCATAAATAATATCATAAGCGATGGATTAAACGAAAATTCTCACCAAGAGATTTGAAGGTGTAGCTGTGCGTTGTAGCCGCGAAGACATTTGCATTCACCGGTAGCTTTATTTTGACGATACGTTTTATAAGTAGTCGAGTGATCGGAAAACCGGATAGAACAACAAGCGAAGGAGTAAGCCGACTGTGGAGTGTTAACGAGAACAGCTGATCGATAGATTGCACTAATAACATGAGAGATCAAAGGATGTTATGGAAAAGAAAAATCTTTAAGGAGTGCCTTGTAGCGAAGATATTTGCATTAACTGGTAGCTTTATTTTGATGATACGTCGTTTAAGTCGAAGCGAGCGAAGAAGGAAGCCGAATGTCGATAGTTAACGTGACCATTTGATCGATAGATGAAACCACAGAACGAGTGCACTTTATGGCCGAGGATTGTAGTATGAATAGACATTACGTTGTTTATCGAATCAGAAGCATTTTAAGTCTAGTTTTTACATTTTGCTTTATGCATTTAACACCTGTAAACCATATAGGACCCCTTGCTCTTTACCTACATTTCAGTATTTTATGTATCGGTAGATTTCTTAGCAATTTCTTCTTAATATTACTTATTGTACTCGAGGTTTTCTTTTGAGCCAGCAAACAACTGAGGAGCATTGGAAGTGTCAGAATACTTCTTATATGTTTACAGTATATATTTCATCGTTTGTGGGTTAAAATGACCTATAATCCACTGAATCACTAGTTATTTTTTTTGTTATCATCCCTACTGGCCGAAACTACGTTTGTGTTTGCTTTCGTGACTCCTTTTGCTGACTCTTTACAAGACAAATTTCAATGAATAAAATAGTTGAAACTGATCGTTTATGTTCTTTTTTGTGGGCTACGATGTAGTTTCCTACGGCTAGATCCCTAGAAATTTTAAAAATGCCCCCCCCCCCTTCCCCCCTGTACAGAAGATATATATGCCTGCGTTTGGTTCTTTAACGATTTTTGTGGAACCAAATCATGGACTTGCTAGCGGTAGCTTCTCGAAAATCCAAGAGCCTTTCATGAATTTGGAGCTACAAGCTTATGCCAAATGAAGCAGATCTAATTCAACCACAGCACCAGTTTGCCTTCATCAAAACCTCTTCTACTACAACTGCATTGATCAGAACAGTCGATTCATGGAAATTGGCTATCGACAAAAGGGAAAGGGTTATATTGGTTATATGTGCTTTTCTTGACCTTCAAAAAACATTTGACGTGATCGATCACGCTACTCTTTTAGACAGGGCGGTAAGCAAATGGTGTACGCGAAACAGCTCTGGAGTGCTAGCTCAGATCTGTCTGATAGAACTCAGTTTGTTTCGTGTTGTGGTTGTGGCTCGTCTAAGAGGGAAATAACTTATGGTGTCTCTCAAGGGTCCATACTTGGACCAACCTTTGTCAACGTTCACATAAATGGAACAACCGGTGTCCGTCAATATTGTTATTTTCCTTTATGTATGCTGACGATACTGAAGTTCATACGAGTTCAAAGGACATTGATAGAGCTGAGGAATAAATCAATCGTGATCTGAAATCAACTAGCGGCTAGATACCAAACAATGGCTTAATAATAAGTTATACCAAGAAATCTGAAGTGATGCTTATAGGCACCATGCTGTTAAGATTGCACGTGAACTACAAGTCATGCTTGATGATAAACCTTAGACAATCCCAACACTTCACCTATTTAGGATTGGTCATTGACAATCGATTGAACTGGAATGATGATCTACACTTCTGATCGCATTCTCACCGCAATTGACCAAAAGAAAACATCAGCTGTAGTTCTCCTTGATATGAGCAAAGCATTCGACAGTGTCAACCATGATATTCTGCTTAAAAAATTACAAGATATTGGCTTGTCACCCTCTGCCATCCTGTGGTTCAAGAGCTACTTGTCAAACAGGTACCAAGCTGTGCGTATAAATACTGCTCTTTCCGAACCCCTGCTAATGAGGCACGGTGTTCCCCAAGGAAGCACCAATGACTTGCCGTCAATCCCACAACACTGTTCCACGGACTGCTACGTTAATGACACTAGATTGCTTATGTCATTTCAAGTGCAGGACTGTGAACCGACTATGGCCGCGATGAACGATGATCTTATTAAACTACGTAATTGGTGTTTTAATAATAGGCTACTCCTGAACCTAGACAAGACTAAACTGATTGTATATGAAAGTCGGCAAATGATATCGAAACTTCAGGATTTTCGCCTTACCCTCTTGGGTAAAGAACTTTTACCCGTCTACTCTGTTAAGGACCTGGGTGTAGTGTTTGATAGTAAACTCTCATTCAACGACCACATAATTAAAACAGCATCATCTTGTATGTCTGCCCTAGGGCAAATTAGCCGGGTTAAACATATATTTAGAAAAGACATACTTGTTACAATAATTAATCCTCTCGTGTTTAGTAAGTTGTATTACTGCTCGTCCGTCTGGTCGAATACTTCTGCCAGCAATATACGCAAACTACAAGGAGTACAGAATTTCGCTGCTCGCATAGTTTCTGGGACAAGGAAGTTTGATCACGTATCTCCAGCCCTGAAAGACCCGAGATGGATACCAGTTAAGTTCCACCTGTATCTAAGAGACGCCATCTTGGCCTTTAAATCTATGACAGGTCAGGTACCAAACTACCTCAGTTCAAACTTTATATCCAGAGGGAATATCAGTGGTCGGACGACCAGATCATCTCCCCAGCTTAATATACCGCTTTTTAAAACCAAGTCGGGACAGACATCTTTTTATTACAGAACTGTAACATTGTGGAATGCGTTAAAACCCCACTTTAAATTAAGTGAATCTCTTATCATTTTCAAACGTAAAATGAAAGCCTTCCTTTTAAATCAATTTTTAATGTCATAAATTTATATGTAAATAGTTTCTTAATAGTTTATTGATAATCAATTTGCGGTGTCATTAATTCTATATGCAAATAGTTTCTTAATAATAGTTTCTTATATTTATTTTTTGATTACCTGTAGTATTAATACTTGTCTCTGAAAAGCCCCCATGGGGAGTTGACAATAAAATTTGTATTGTATTGTATTGTATTTTTATATATCCTCCAAGGTTTATCCCAAACTGAAGATATTAATAGGATTTCATTCATTTTAAGTAGAAATTTTCTGTTAAGGATTTTCAAGCAAACCATTTTACCTATATTTGATTATGGGTGTATAGTTTAGGGAGACTGTGGTTAACAGAATGCACAACGTTAGGAACGTTTACAGAATCAAGCAATGCGTAGCATTTTAGCAGCTCATGTCAAATCTTGTACCCAGGACATGTGTACTAAGCTGGCTCTTTTATCACTATTGAGTAGACGTTGTGTTCGCAGACTTAAGTTAGTTTATAATTTTATACATAATGTCAACTGTCCCGACCAGCTTAAGAACTATCTATTAAAGTGATCACAATTACATATAATAGATGTTTTAGCCAGGGATGCTACTATAAAGCAACACATGTCTGTACTGCCAAATAGCATTTTTTTCTTTTCTTGGTATTTTAATATTGTTGTAGATATATCTTTTATTTTTTAATTAGGCTACTTTGAATTTACACTTCCTTTAGCATACATAACTCTTTTATATGTTTTTTAAAATATTTGCTGATCACCGGTTACTGAATGCCAGCTGGTCCTCTTTGCTTAGCTGATCCGTTTTCTATCATGATCAGGATAAATTAAGATATTATTATTATTATTATTATTATTATTATTATTATCAACCGCCCTATCTGGGCACCGACGAAAGTTATATTGGGAGTCGAATATGGAGAATTGCTGCGTGCAGCTGATCGATCAAAGAATGCAAACAAATATGACGAATGATGAAACCAAAAAAATATGTGATTTTTCTGGGCCGCAGATTGTTAACGTACTTATTGTATTATAAATATCATTATTATTCATTCAAAATATTTCCCCAATTCTGATTGGCTAAAAGCACACGCATAATTCACCATAACCAGTTACTGATGACCAAATTTGGAAGAATATTGTGCTTAAAGAGGAAATGACGTCAAAAATGCAGCCTTCTACAGGTTAATGCACCGTTAACCGAGAAGACCTGGGGACGAGATTGAGTTGTTTTCGTTGTGAAAACTAAAATGATGGACACTTCACTCGTTCCAAGAGTAAAAACTACAGTTGGAACTAGGCGAAATAATGGCTAAAAACATAGCAAAAACAGCAAGAAGACAACTCGGAGGGCGACATTTGCCATTTGGAGAATATTTGAGGAGCTGGACAAACCTAAAACGTACACTATTAACCTGAGATCAGGCTCAATTTTCGATTGGCTTTGTAATAACATTCCGGCGGGCAAGGCGAAACGAAAAAATTAGCGGTAGCCGTTAAGAGAGAATGTATGAGAACCGCTAAAATTGGGCCTGATTTCAGGTTACTATCGAGGATAAACTTAACATCGATGCAGGTAAGCTTGTTTTAGCTATGTTTTTAAACTAGGAATTATTTTGAATGAATAATAAAGCAATTAATGATTTCGGCTTTCGTAGGATATGAAGAATTAAGCAGATCTTGAAGGGTGTTATCCACCTCGGCCTGTGTGGATAACACCCTCCTCGATCTGCTTAATTCTTCATATCCTATTCAGCCTCATTCATTAATTGCTAATTAACAGTATTGACCGTATTATTATAAATAGCAATGATGGTACTAATATATGACTATGACCGCGGTTGATGATAACAACAACAGCAATATAGAGTATTCGTACATTGATAGTAAAAAAAGTAAGAACATCGTCAACATCTAATGTCGAGAAAAACGAATGTTCCTGTATAATATATACTGTATAGTAACTAATCAATTATCATGACATTTTATTAAATAGTATTGACTGTGTTTAATATTGATTACTATTGTGGATTCATGTTAAATCTTTTTAAAACGAAAAGATCGCCATTCTGGCCATAACTTGATCAAAAAGCGAGGAAAAGACAATTCTGTTTATGCGTTTGCTCTGCATAAGACGAAGCAATTTTTAGGCTGATTTCCAGAATGCGGTTCACGTTGTGAGCACCACCCAGAGAGAAACATGTTTAAGTAATTCATTATTAAATGTAAGATAAAGCAACAATATATTGCTGCTGTGCAGTTTCACTGCTTGAGTTCGTATTGAAGCGAGCGGTTTCCGTTGTAACTGTGATAACTTCGGAAGTTTCTCTCACCTTTTTCTTCAGTTAAACTTTTTTATTCCTCCATTCTTCCGTTCTTCCGTCTTGTACGCCGTGCTTTGAACCGGGTTCCGACATTATATTCTTACGTAAAAAGGAACAAATTTGGAAGATTTTGGAATAAGAGACAATCTGAAAACTGTTTCGCTCTCTTCAGAAATGAGAAGGCGAGACAGGTCACATCTTTTTAAATGTCGCGCGAGATAGCTAAAATCCAAAATCCCATTGGTGGTTGACCTTTGATTATCCTTTCTAATGATCTGTTTATTGTTTACTACGAAGAAATGTGGAGGTGCGATCACAAACATTCTGTTGAGTGGAATCTTCATTGTGACACTATAATAAACAAAAAGACGGGATGACAAAAAAAAACTACAATTAAAAACAACACAAGTACGCACGAGGTAAGTCTCTCGGGGATACAGTATAAGGGAGTAACAAGGACAGCGGCGTCAACGTCACATAGAAAAGAGAGTTCGCGTTTTCAAAGTTCATCACGATTATTCCACCTTGCTCAAGTTATCAAATGTAAGAGAACCTCCTGGAAGTGAATTGATCAAAAGGAAAAATTCGTTTTGGTTATGTACGTCCATCATTAAAACGTGAAATTAGGTGATTTCAAGTGCTTGCCTGCTTGACGGAAAAACTTGAAGTCGGAAAAATGTAACACGTGCAGAGATGTGGTTTTGCTGATTAACCATGAGCGCTTAAATTTCTTCCTTTCTCTCGAAATGAAGCCTTACACTAGTAATCCAAACAAATGGTACTGAAAATTTCGGTCGTTTCGGTAAAAAAGGGATCAAGGTAATACCTCGAAAGGTATTACTTTTATCCGGAAAATTTCCACCGAGATGAACCGTTCCATTTGAATTCTCCCAGGTTCCGGGTTTTCCATACAAATGGTAAGTGTCGGTCATGAAAGTGTCACCAAAGACTACTGTGCCCGCGACGCATTACTGCAGCGATCAAGCACTGCTCTTTGTTTGTCTTGTCCCAGTCCCAGTCTAGCATGGTGGTTTTGTACTTTGTAAACGGCTAGCTGCAAGGTAGGGCCTCCAATGTACTAAACAAATGGGACCGTAGAACAGTACCCTGTTGCCTATAGAGTGTTTTCACACGACGTAACCCCGGCCATATTGGTGTCCCAAAACAATGAAACGGCGGCCATGTTGGTGTTCCAAACCAATCCAGTGGGAGATGAACTCTTTTCTTTTATAAAATAACTAAGATAGTACGCGCGCTTTGATTGACCGAGAGGAGTGTTTGCACTAGAGTATGTAGACATGGTTGTGGCGTCAAGATGTTTTTCTTTTCGCGCGCTAATCACGCAAGCGCGAATTTCAAAAAGTTTTCGAGTTCAAAACTCGACAAGTTTACTTTATATACCCATTCCTTCGTCGGCTGAAACTTGGAAAATCGTTACAAACAAGGTGTGTCAATTTTTTTTTCGCTTAAGCTGACATTTTAAGCGAGAAAAGTCCGTATTTTGGAAAGCATCTTTTAGCAAAACAAGAACTGATTACGCGTGCAAGACTTTGCGACTGGTAAGAATTTCTGTTTTAATTAATCAGTGCCATAACAAAGAGTTTTGCGTTTTTTCTCGGGAAAGTTATTTTATAAAAGCAATAGAAAACTTTTTTCCTGTGTTTGCATAGCCTGATATAAACACTCGAAGGGTTGGGAGAATTCGAGACAGTTCTGCAAAACTTTGGCATAACTGTGTCGAATTCTCCCAACCCCTCGAGTGTTTATATCAGGCTATGCAAACACGGAAAACGTTTTCTATTGCTTAAATGCAAACGCTTTCTTTTGTTCCAATAAATTTGCATAGATGCTGGCCACGTGGGTGAAAACACTCTAAACACCTACGCATCCTCAAGCCTTCTTCTTGTTCCCCTTGTTCCCCCATTCCTCTTGTTCCCCCTATTCCCCTTTCCCCTTGTTACGCCTGTTCGCCCTGTTCAACCTATTCTCCTTGTTCCCCTGTTCCCCTTGATCTTCTTGTTCCGCCTGTTCCCATCTTCCCTCTATTCCCCTTGTTGCCCTGTTCCAGCTGTTCGGCTATTCCCCTGTTACCCTTTTCCCCCTGTTCTCCCCGTTTCCCCTGTTGCCTGTACCCCTTGTTCCCTGTTCCCCTTGTTGCCCCTGTTCCCCTTGTTCCTCTGTTCCCCCTGTTTCCCTTGCTTCCCTTGTTACCCTGGTTCCTCTGTTCGCCTTATTCGGCTGTTCCACATGTTCCGCTGTTCCCTTTGTTCCCATGGTTCCTCTTCTCCCTTTGTTCCCCTGTTCCTCTTCTTCCCCCTATTCCCCTATTCCCCTTTCCCCTTGTTCCCCTTGTTCGCCCTCTTCAACCTCTTCCCCTTGTTACTCTGTTCTCTTTGTTTTCCCTGTTCCCCTTGTTCCTCTGTTCCCCTTGTTCCACTTTTCCTCCTCTTCCACCTGTTCCCCTTGTTCCCCCCGTTCCCCTGTTCTTCTTGTTCCCCTCTTCCCCCTTTCCCCCGTCTATTGGCCTGTTTGTCCCTGTTCCCCTTCTTCTCCTGTTCCCCCTGTTCCCCCTGTTCCCTTGTTCCCCTTTCAAGTAGTTTAAGGCCTGGGACTAAGGAGTTTACCTGTAGATTAGTGAATTATTGGCTATAACGTGGGCATAGATGATAGCACCGAATCAAAATTTGGCACACAGAAAGACCTCATCGTCTTTATCATTTTAAAGTATAAATATTGTGTTTATAAGTCGCGTTATATGTCACTTGACCATTTTGCTAAAAAACGTAAATTATTGACCACTTGGTGGGTGGTATGAAAAAAGAAATCGAGCGATGGCATTTTTCTAATTCATATTAAATATTTCTAACAACTAACGCTTGGAACGACCGTCCACTAGACTTAAATAAAACATTATGAGAGAAAACATCATTTTAAATGCCCAAATTTAATCTTGAATTATTTAAAACTTTAATATTAGAATTCGTGTACATTCATTCCAAACTTAAAAAGTTGGGTATGTTTATCCTCTTTCAGAAATGTCAATTTTTTTTATCCAAACAAAGTAGATTCGCCACCAGTTCACCCATTTCCTTCATTTTCAATTTTTGGTCATGTGACAATAATTAAACGTGAAGGCACAAGGAAACCTCAAGATTTACTTTTGAGGAAAATTCATTTTGTTCTAGGTCTCCTGGCGAGAAATACAGCCAATCATTCATATGCTTCGTCCCTGTGGTGAGGTGACTGGAAATCAGTTAGAGTACGAATAACTCAGGTCAAAACCTTTAAGCCCGTTACTGATTCCAGAAGACGAATTAATCAGTAAAGTCAATAGCAAAATTAAAGACGACAATAAACACTTAATGACTGGTCCTGAGAGAAACAGATAATTTTGTTTCCAGGGAATCTAAATGTTTCCTGAGGCGGAGTCGAGGGAAACAAAATTAACTGTTTCCCGAGGGACCAGTCTTTAAGTGACTTGTTGTAAAGCTGGAAATTTTGAAGCTGGAAATTCATTAAACCTCGCTGTAACGGCAGTCGTCGGTCAACATTTGCGGGTAACAGTGCACTGTTACCCCCGTGCAAATGGACGCAACATTGTTGGATGTTACATGTTGCGTCCGTTTGCACACCCTGTCGCCATGTTGTTGCCCGTTGTTGGGAGTTGTCGCGCAAAGTTTGAAATCGGTCAAACTTTTAGCCCGTGAATATTGGGTACGTTTGCACGTAGCTGTAGATTTTTCAATGGTGCTTGCTCAGAGATTTTGGCGGGAAACAGTTTCATTGTTGGATGTAATGTAACCTCGAAGTAACCAATGAGAGCGCGCGCTGTTGAGAAAAATTCCCAGCGCGCGATAGAGGACGCGATAGGGCGTTTTCACATGACATCACAGCGGCCATATTGGTGTTCCAAAACAATAAAATGGTGGCCGTGTTCAAAGACAATCCTGTGGGAGATGAACCTTCTTCTTATGTAAATACTTTCATTTGTTCCAATAAATTTGCATAGATGCTGGCCACGTGAGTGAAAACGTTCAACCACAAACCACAAATAGAATATGACTAAATTCACCATTTTTATACAGAACATAATGCACATTGTTTACCCCCCCGGCCCCCACCACCAAATTTTGGATAACCATTGTTTCCAATTTCTCCTGGGTAATACAGTTTTCCCAATAGATAACCTGAGATCAGGCGTTATTTCATTTATTTATTTTTTTTGCTTCTTTAGCTCGAGAGGGAAAAAAAGAGAGACATAAAGGGATAATAGGGAGAGGGCATGATCTCAGGCTACCCAAGAGAAGACAATGGTTACGCTAAATTTTGGAGGGCAAACAATTATGGTGGTGAACACACGAAAACACATCCTCGGAGACCCAGGGGCAGTCAGTCGGGTCGATAAAATGTTCGTGGTGAAAGTTTACTGTAAGATCGAGACGAGCCCCTGGGCACTTACTCTTACCGAACCAGTTCCAGAAGCGTTTGAATTGCCTGCGCCTGATTGGCCAGAAAAAAATTTTTCTGGCCAATCAGCGAAGAGAAGCTGCCGGGTGACTCTCGTGTTTTCTTACACGACGTAGTTTTCCTCATCGATCGCTATAGTTGCGTAGCGCGTTCAACGGGCAAGTTCCTCGAGGAAAGTTTCAGAACAAAATGTTAACAACCCGCAAAAACTACAACCTTTAGCACGGCTACAAGAAACAAACACTCTCCGATGAATTTTTAAGGCAGATCTTTCCAAGGTATCGTAAATTTTTATTGCTGATACGATACGCGATGCATGACTTTCACTTTCCACACCTTAATTTGCTCACATTGTTTAGTATACAACTCCAAGGTTACATTTTAGACGTCCATGTTCGTTGCACGACTTCTGAACTTTCTACAGCGTGAAAGTTTCCGTTGCACGGGCCACGCAACTGCGTCGATTGATCGTGGGAATTGCTGGCTTGATGCAGTGCGCACCTTCTTGCTTTCGCGCAAACTCCCTTACCGTAAGTACTTTAAATACAGCCGTTGTGTTTAGTTCGAAATCTCGGTCCGGTTATGTGCTGAATCGTGACTTTTTAAGTGAGGTCGATTTTTGCAGGCTGTGTGGGTTTGTTTTTACGGATAAGCGAAGAAAAAAAAATAAAGTTGAGTTTGCGAAAAATGTTTGAAAGTGGTTGGTGTGAAAGTTTTGGAGGGCGATAAAAGGCGCAGGGTGTGACACGTGTAGGTATAGAGTTGAGAAATCGTGGAAGGGTGGGAGGTCTATATAGATATTTTTGTAGTCACTAAAACTTTACAAGAGGTGAACGCTCTTAAGGAAATTCCAGGGAGAAGAGACCAAGGAATAGGGACACTTTCCAAAGATCCAACTTCAGCTCTTGATTTCAAGGACCTGGGTCAGGGTCTGGCTTACTGGGTTAATCTTCACTGTGATTAGAATTATGGCTAATATAGTACAAATGAATTTTCATTATAAGATATCTTTTAACAAATACATGTATAAAATTAATTTCACATAATATGTGATTTTTTGCCAAACTTTTTATCTATGATTGGCTTGATGTTTCCCCCTACTGACCCCCTCAAACACATCCACAGTGCCATTGTTTTAACTCCCTTGCAATTGATGTTACAAGATTGGACTTATTTTGAAAGAATAATGCTGCAATATTAACAATTTTCCTTTGGTGCATTTTTTTGATATTTTACAACTTCCCTATTATAATTCTCGTCTGACAATAATATTCTTCATTTATAATTATTTTTAAATCTTTAAACACCCTCTTCAGAAAGGTAAAAATCTTCATTGCATGGTCACCATTACACACAGTGTCTCTAAAATACCTTCCACAGTACATAATTTATGACAATTAACAATTATTGTTTCCTATAGAAGACAATCAGAGAATACAAATTCTAGAATACAAGCAGTGAAGATTTGATTCTTGAAATTCTTGTCTCAGATCATCTTGATTTTCTTTAAGCAGACTAACAGTCTTTGGCACTGATGTCACAACATAAGTGGCTTGGAATGACTCTGCTGTTTTCATTACTGTCATCAAAAAAGGAAGGATTTTTTTCTCTTCTGCAAGTTGTTGTTAAAATAAAATAAAATATTGAAGCTCCCTAGTATTTCTATAAGTCAAGCAGTAGTATAAGTAGACATGTGAATTCCAATAATGATAAAGTAAAAAAAAACAATCTCAACAGCTTAAAAATAAAATTAATGTAATGGCATCTGTAGTTCTGTATTACGGGATGTTTTTCCATTTGTAATATGTAAATGTTCAATTGCACTATTATCTTAAGCAGTCACAAGGCTTACTTTATCAGCTTTTAATTGTCAATAGATGGTGACAAAAAACATGATAATTCTTGTGAAATGTCTGTCAGCTTTTAGACAACATTACTGAGCATCCTTGAATAAAAGCCAGATCTACTGTTAAGTATAATGAGGGTCCTGTAGAGGGGATAACAATCCCATTGAAACTGTTTAACCCTCAATTCCCATTTTTACATTTTTTTCCATTCTCAGTGATAGAATCCCCCTGCCAGTGACTTAAATCCCATTTTACCCCTTCAGAACTCCCCACAATGAATCCAGTGTAGTACCCTTTCTAGTAAACAAATCAGCATACTTACCAATGAACAGCTGTATGTACCTGCAACAGGATTCTTCTGGTAAAACTCCGTAGAGAACATTGCCCTGAATTTCTTGTCCCCCAGTTAATGATTTCGGGCTTCCATACAACAAAGAAAACGCTCCCTATCCATTCAATATTTCTCGATCTTTCGTTTTGCTTTCCCCTAAGTAAGCACCCTGAATTCCTAGTGACCTCGAGTACTTTACCTGGTCCTCAACAACTGACATGAGAGATGAAATCACTATGACCAAAGGATTACAAGGGAATTCATAACCTTTAGCATCTAACGATTTTTAAACCCCCTAGCTTACAGGCAACATTTGGAAGGTTAGACTCTTGTATCAATTGCCCAAGAACATCTCTTCTTTTCACAATCTTCTCAATAACAAATCTTTGCAAGCCTTCTTCAAGCGCTTGCTGGACGTTTCCCTCGAATCTAAAGTTAACACTACTATCAACTTCGGCAGAATTCGTACGGTCAACTGCTGTAAGCTTTTAAGCTTAAAATTTGGAGCAAAAGCAAGAAGAAGGCACTACAGCTATGCGCTAGCCGGCATTTCCCACGATCAATCGACGTAGTTTCGTGGCCCGTGCAACGGAAATTTTCACGCTGTAGAAAGTTTCAGAAGTCGTGCGACGAACATGGACATCTAAATGTAAACTTGGAGTTGTATATATACTAAACAATGTGAGCAAATTAAGGTGTGGAAAGTGAAAGTCATGCATCGCGTATCGTATCAGCAATAAAAATTTACGATACCTTGGAAAGATCCGCCTTAAAAATTCATCAGAGAGTGTTTGTTTCTTGTAGCCGTGCTAAAGGTTGTAGTTTTTGCGGGTTGTTAACATTTTGTTCTGAAACTTTCCTCGGGAAACTTTCCCGTTGAACGCGCTACGCAACTATAGCGATCGATGAGGAAAACTACGTCGTGTAAGAAAACACGAGAGTCACCCGGCAGCTTCTCTTCGCTGATTGGCCAGAAAAATTTTTTTCTGGCCAATCAGAAGCAGGCAATTCAAACGCTTCTGGAACTGGTTCGGTAAGAGTAAGTGCCCAGGGGCTCGTCTCGATCTTACAGTAAACTTTCACCACGAACATTTTATCGACCCGACTGACTGCCCCTGGGTCTCCGAGGATGACGAAAACATGAAGCGAACGAAAATCATGTTCGTTACCACAGGAATACCAATTTTTCCTACTTTCTGCGACCATCCGCTGACACAAGCAGGCCAGCGAAAAGAACATCCATGGAGGAAATCCTGAAGCAAAAAGCAAAGGAAGCCATCGATTCCTATTCTGATGAATTGTATGGGCTTAGTAAGAGAATTTGGGAGAAACCCGAGCTGAACTTTCAGGAAAAATACGCTCATGATCAGCTAACAGAGTATTTAGCAGCACGAGGTTTTGATGTGACGCCTCATTACACTTTGGATACCGCTTTTCGAGCTGAAACCGGTGAAGATGGAGGCCTTACAGTTGGTTTGATTTGTGAATACGACGCTTTACCAGAAGTGGGTCACGCGTGTGGACACAATTTGATCGCTGAATCTGGTGTAGCCGCGGCTGTAGGTATAAGCTTGGATTTAATGAACCGAATAGTCAGACCATCTTTCGAAGAGACCCTTTCTCGGTTTTTTAACTTTTGACTAGTACCAGTTATCGAAAAGTTAAAGTACGCCTCAAAATTAGTAAAGATGCCAAGTTTGAACGTGATTTGTTGAAAAGTAACACAGATATAGTTCCCCAAAGTCGGCGAAATTTACAGGCGTTTGTATGGTGGGGGGCAAGTTCGTGTCCCCCACCATGCAATTACCGTTTGTAAAATAAAGTAAGCTCATCACCTTTAAACTTGGTACGTCCCCTAATTTAAAGGCGCTCTTTCAGTCATTGTCAATGCATATTCACTAACTGGTCGTAATTAAAACTTGTAAAAAAACCTTGCAAGTGTCTATTCAGTAGGCCAAGGGCAATAAAAGTTGAGATTTAGGCATGAATAATTCAGTTCTTTTGTTCTATTCCCCTGGGCGTCAGAGCCAACTATGAATTTTGATAATTTGAAACTATGCCTTCCTATTTTACATCCACATTCCGACACATCGTCTACAGAGGAGATTTTTCTTGAGGGGTCCCCCCTGTTAGATTTCAGAGGGAGTCAATCATGAGGTCAAAGGTACATTAGGGGTGGCGAATGGTAAAATCCGAGACTCGCCGAGAAGCCGAGATCCTAGTTAGAAATCCGAGCCCGAGACTCTTTGGTAAAAAGTTTTGAGACTCAAAAAAAGTAAAAACAAACCATGCAAAAACGAGACTTCGAGACTTATCAAAAATGCTTCCGAGATTTCAAGAACCTGCCAAAATTTTCCGAGACCCACGTTTTTCGTGGTACCATTCGCCACCCCTTACATTGTGGATGAAGGGGATTGTTATTCGAAATGTCAATGAATTTGGGAATGAAAAAGGAGAAAGTTATGTCATCAATATTGGGATGGTGAAACAGTTTTTCTGATGAAGTTGAGTAGTGCTGTAAAACTTCTTTTCGGAAAGGGACAAATTAACATTGCCACATCTTCTGAAGGCGGGTAAAGAACAAAAAACATTCCATTTTTAGGGAGCTTCAAGAGTTAATGTTAATTTCTAAAGAGGTAACCCCTGGAAGGGGTTAGGCAAAATATCATCAATAAATTATTGTGCATCCCCCCCTCTCAAATAAGCCCCGGCTCCCGCTTAAAAGCTCCCCTTTTCAGGGGAATAAAAATCAATAAGCCCTCGGATTTGATTCTGATCCTTGGCTGCATGACCTCCAACCTTCTTGTACCTGAGCTAATCCACTTTGTATTCTAAGGTCTTTATGGAGAACTGATACCATCATCTTTTCTAACTTGAATAAGCCCACCCCCCCTCCCCATCAATAAATTGAGCTTGAAATAAGTAAGCCTGCCCCCAAGGGGGGCTTAATAGATGATTTACAGTATATCAAGTGAGTGGGAGAGGACCCAGGGAACCAGCTTAGCCCAGTTGTACAGTACCCAGTTTTATTAAAAACCCTGAAAATTTTATTCTTAAAAATACTTTCATTCCATCAGACTGTTTATCAGCAGTATTCAGTGCATTTTTGGTACTTACCACTTTGCCTTGTGAAAAAATAGGTCTAAAGATTGCTTTAGAGGCTGTCAACCAGAAGCCAAAGGTAAAAATAGTAGTTTTTGGAACTCCAGCTGAGGAAGGAGGAGGAGGCAAGATTTTGATGATTAACAATGGTTGCTTCAAAGGTGTTGACTTCTGCTTGATGGTTCATCCCTGTCCATATGATGTCCTCAAGCCCTCTTTTCTAGCTTTAGAAAACGTCATAGTCAACTACAAAGGTCATGCCGCTCATGCTGCAGCATTTCCTTGGGAAGGAATCAATGCACTGGACGCGGCAGTTATGGCTTATAACAACGTAAGCATGTTGCGACAACAAATGAAGCCCACATGGAGAGTACATGGTATCATCTCTGAAGGAGGTGTGAAGCCGAACATTATTCCAGAGCAAACCAAGCTTCGGTATACTATTAGAGCTCCAACTAGTGAGGAAGTTAAAGTGCTACGACAGAAGGTGACAAGTTGTTTTGAAGCAGCTGCAACAGCTACTGGTAAGCGATGGCCAGTCTTATTTTTTCTTCTTTATCAGAAAACTGACTTACAGGGTACATGCTCAGCCTCTTTTATTAGCCTGTGCACAGATGTCTCATCATGTCATTGTTTTCACAAACCAATCAAAAAAGCAAACAGAGACAGTGGCAAGTAGATTACATTTGATCAAAATGCAAAGAGAAAGATGACAAGATGACAAGCTCTTCTTTTATGCTGCTACAGCCATTGGTAATATTCAGTGCAGATCCAGAGGAAGGGTCCAGTGTCCCCCCAATTTTTAGACTAAACAGAGACCACCCAACCACCCCTCTCTATCTCAGGGTCTGGATGACTTTAATATTATGCTGTAGATGTTCACATCAAAATGCTGTCTTCACAGTATAACAGTACTTGGTTTATTAATTTTATTAGACATTTCTTTCTACACAACCCTAAGTGACATCTGTATGGGAGAAAATGTTCCCTTTCTATGCTAACAATCCAAATGAGGCAAAATGTTTTTGCAATTTAATGCAAAATTATGTTGTAACTTTTTATGGCAGCCTCCCTCCTTCCACTCTTCAATATTATGATGTCTGATATGTATCAATTCTTCTTCCTTACTCGAAGTTTGTCTCTTGTTTCATTCAGGATGTGAATTGTCTCTCGAGTGGGGTTCAACACGTTATGCCAATGTGATAACCAATCCAACCTTGGCAGACCTCTACCAAGCTAATGCTGAGACCTTTGGAATTATCCTTGATTCTGTTAAACCAGAAGGGCAAGGATCAACAGATATGGGCAATGTGTCTCATATTGTTCCCTCAACTCATGTTTTGTACTCCATTGGTAGCACAGCTGTGAACCATTCCCATGCATTTACTGCGGCAGCAATTACAGAAGTTGCTCATCAGAAGACTCTAATTGCGAGCAAGGCAATGGCCATGACGGCTATTGATGTTGTATGCAAACCTGAATTGATGGAGAAAGTAAAAAATGACTTTGCAAAATCACATGCAACAAGTTCATGAGTTGTGTTAAAGTGATGACAGTTAGAGGACTTTCCATCAAATGGAAGCAAAAGTGTCATGACGTCATTGTAATGCCAGTATCAATAGCCATATCAGTAGATTAAGCTGATTACAATTTAACATTAAAAACAACTGATAATTTCAAATGGAGTGAAAGTAATGTTGAAATGATGAATATATGAAATTCGTATATTGGAGCCCTGGAATGAAGATCGTTGTAATTTCAAAAGTAATTTCTTTCAGATATGTTAAACTTGGAGATGGACAAACTGTCAATCTGGTTTCAAGCAAACAAGCTTTCTCTAAATCTTAAAAAGACTAAATTTATGGTCTTTAAACCAAGACAAAAGCGTTCAATTTGTAATATTCAAATAAGTATAGATAATCAAAATATTGTTGAAGTAAAGGAGACAAATTTTCTAGGTGTCATTTTGGATGAAAACTTTAATTGGAAGGCAGAAATATCACACGTTGCAAATAAAGTTGCGAAGTCATCTAGATGTAGCTTCTTTCTTCCCAAGACGTCTCTACGTATGCTCTACTATTCCTTAATTTATCCTTATTTTTACTGCTGAAATATAGTTTGGGCTTCGACCCTTGAAACCAGTCTCCGCCGTCTGGTTATCCTGCAAAAGCACATTATTAACATTATTAATAAATCACATTTCAATGCTCATGCAGACCCCATCTTTAACGACCTTGGTATAAAAATTAAATGATATCCATTTGCTTCAACTGGACCAGTTTATGTATTCTTGGAAAAATTCATTCTTACCTTCAAGGTTTAATAACAATTTCTCCAAAGCAATCAATTCCACTTTTAAATTCAAGAAATTCCCAGGCCTACCGTCTACCATATTGTTGTACAAACACTAAGAAGTTCTCGCCTTTTTTTTAAGGGCCCAAGTTTTTTAATTCACTTGGCAACGAGGTCATCAACTCTCAATCCCTTTCATCTTTTAAGGAAAAACTGACGATTAAATTATTGAGTGAATATGAAAACAGTTCATAAATCTTTCCATCTTTGACTTTTCGCCATCTTTTCTTCAATTGATGTGAAACAGCTCTAGCCCGCAGTTCGAGGAGGCCTAACCTCTCATAAGCTCCTATAGATTCTGTTAGGTCCCCTCACCACTTCTTTTTTTCTTCTTTTCCCATATGTTATGTATTTATTGTGTGGCAAATAAAACAAAATAAATAAATAAATATATTGGAACCCCGGAATGAAGATCATTGTAATTTCATGTGTTTTCTTGTGTCTTGATAATGTACAAAAGTATTCATATTCTTGAAAATCCAACACCAGCTTATTGTTCAATTTTGTGAAGAATAATATTCTACCAGAATACAACATGATTCATGTGTGTAAAATGTACAATAAAAGAACATTAAATGTTGGAAAACAATAAAAGTACATTTTACGCACATGAATCATGTTGTATTCCTGACTTGTGGCAGCCATGTCACGGGCAAATGGGTTAAGCAAAATAGTCAAGTTTACTAGTGAGGATAGGAAGGATCCCTTGATAAAATCTGTTGATCTATAGAGTGGGCTTAACCCTTTAAGTCTCAATATCCAGCTACAAATTAATTCTCTAAACTGATCTCGGTACATTCCTTAACAAATAAGTTGGGAGAATTTGATAAAAGTTGAGTGCATTTTCCTGTAGGTGATTATTTTATTAATTCTCATGACCTTTTTCTCTTGATTATGTATTGATGTTGTTAGGAGATAACTGAAGTTGATCACTCTTGGGACTTAAAGGGTTAAGTGGTTTAATAGAATGACTAAGCTTCACTTGACTGTTTAGGTTACATGAATCTGAGTGAAATAAAAGGTAACATATGTGCGTTCCAGCTGTTCATCTTGAATTGGTCACTAAAATTAATAGGGCTGACTGTGAACACCTTGTAAAATGGTTTACATGTAGATGGAGAAGTATGCAAAGCAAATCTGTAAAATGAGCCACAGAAACATACCCAGGTCAATTCAGAGAAACTTTCACAATATAATTTCCAGTGTAACTATTGTACTTCAGGGTTTGGAAACATTCACTTGTAAATTACACATACAGTGTACAGTAAGTTTTATTCATCAAACAATAATTATTGACTCCAGTTTACACAAAAATAAATTTAACAATCAGGGCTCAAAGTTAACGACTAACTGGTCGCATATGTGACTGGATTTTTGGTTATGTGCCTAAAAAATCATGTATGATCGCACCTGTGTGCCATAAGACCCAAAACACAGTGCGACTAACTTGCCCCGCTGCTTCCAAACCTGACCATAATTACCAACTTGAAATAGTAAGACGTTAAACAGTAGCTTCAAGCAATGAAAAGAAAAAGTAATACAGAAATACCACAACCAGGCTCTAAATGATAAAGTTAATATTGTTTTCCTTTCATCTGCATATGTTTAATTCGTCCTTTCTCCCAATGGATTCCACGAATTTCGCTTCAATGTTTTACTCCAACCCAGACTCTTCCGTTTTGTAATAAACACCACTGACACATTTTGCTACGAACGAAACTGCTGCTTCTTGCACAATGGACGATCATGTTGAACGTCAACTGAAAGGTGAAGAGTGTCAAGCATATCAAAACAAAGACAGAGCAGATTAAGAGCCTTTTTTCTTCCAGGTAAGAAAGCTGACAAGTCCTATCCCAGTTACATGTAAGACAATGTGCATTTAAGAAATTCATTAAAGATTAATGTTCATTCTCAATTGACATACTCATTGTTTTTGTGCTCTTTTTTTCAAGTGTAAGTTGTCTTTAGTCACAGCTGTACTGTCAGCAAGTATGAATCACAACAGTATTACTGCATAGCAAATTGGCTGTCTTTTATCAATCACAGGACTGAAATAAAAGTAACAAACTGAAGATGACATACGAACATGGCACTGTTAAGCTTTTTACTTTTTTCTTTTGAAACAGATGCTCCAACCTTACTAAGCTGTGCTCCTAAAATCTTCAGCTGTGTGCCTAAATTTTTGGCAGTAAGCTTAAAAATTTACATCTGGTACCAAACTCAAATTTAACCTTTGAGCCCTGATAATTATCAATAAAGTTAATATCATTGAACATGCTCAATAAAATGAAATGTAGTTGAAGAAATGACACAAAAAGGAAAACATGGTGCAACTTGACGAATGTAACCCTGGCTTGGAAACTAATCCAATAAAAATTAGGAGACAACCGAGATGTCTTTTGGACAGGAAAAAGTTGCCTAACTTGATGACAAACATTTTGAAGTACATGTACTGTTTTTTCAATACATGTTCATTCTTCCTGGCAATAGTTCTACATGTACTAGCAGTTTCTTTGCCCAAGGCCTCAAAATGTTCATTCTTCCTGGCAATAGTTCTACATGTACTAGCAGTTTCTTTGTCCAAGGCCTCAAAAAAGTTCTTCCACTGATAATAACTACACTGTACTATCATTGTTGTAAGGGCACAAGGATGTCTACCTGTGAAACCAACAAGTATAATTATAAGAGTTATTAACTACATGTAACTAGAAATTAAAGCTAATTGGAGTCTGTGGAACACAGCCAATGAGATAATTTTAGCATGAATGCAATCATAAACATGCCACAATTTCGAACACAGAACTAAGTAGATTTCTGAAATCGTTACATTGTACCTCTTGCTTGTTGAAGCAAAACTCTCCCTTTTTGATTGACTAATGTAACACAAAACAATACTGCAAGGATGTAGCTGAGGGAAGCTAAACAGCCTTTGTTTTGGTCAAGTTGAATTTTTGACTTAACTGCACTTTTCAATATTGACCCCATGTCTTTGTTTTCCACAGTAATTTGAGCCAAGGGCTAAGTCTTTCTCCGCCAGTGAAATTACAGTGTAGCCAGCAGCAAGCTATTAGGGACATCCCTAATACAGCATGGATGTCTTTAGGGAAACTGGTAACGAGTAACACAAACACATCAATTGAGTTGTGGTTGCCCTTATTTCTTTCAAATGGTATCCGAAATGCTTTTGGAAGAACTAAAGCCTGGTTAATAAATGATATAGTTCAAGTTACTTGTGTGCCAAAAATGAAGTACCAGTTTATTTCTATTGCCGTTTTGTAGCTAAATTAGTGATCAAACATGAATCAAAATTAAACCCTGTGGACGTGGTTACATTCCTCCACCCCTCTTCCCTCTGGAATTTCCTGAGCCTCTTCCCTAGGCCTCAGGCCCAATGCTCAAAACACTGAGATATACATAACCTTCAAACATTTTTGTGATCATTTTGATGTACCTGGAATCAGTTTTTAAACACCTGAGGTAATGAAAAAGGATTAATGGCCCTCAAGATTAAAGTTGTCAAGAAAGCTGTGGAGTATTTTTGGGAAGGACACGCAGTCTCACTCTGGTCCGAGGTAGTGGGTAGCAGTCTGGAAATTATGTGCTTCCCTAGAAAAAGCCCTAAAATGTGATTTTCAGCATTCTGAAAATTGAGAACAAGAGCGTGCTCTTCATTCAAGAAAATATAGCTTTCATTCAACTTTTGAATTATCAGTCACAATCAATTCCTACAAGAAATGAACAAATGATATAACGAATGTACTTTTGCACTTCAACATATTCTGCGTAAACCTATAAAGAAACTTGTGAAAAATTGACTGAAATATAGCGTTTAACAAACTTTTTTAGGACTAAAGCATAACATAAAGCCAGTGGGCCTTTATGAAAACACATCATAATTAGGTTTTCATTCAGATTTTATGATATATTTTTTTGTTGACAACGTTATTCAAACTAGTTGCCTCTCCTTTCTAAAAAAAGTAGCTGAAGCCGACTTCTATGAGCAGAGTAGCCAACACGTTTCATCGGCCGTCTTGTCGGCCGTCAGTACTTACTGAAACCCCTGGTGTATACTTCACAGTACATATTTGTCAAATGCTCAAATAAGAATTGCTCTTTCTAAAGCTTGTGTATTTTATGACATCTCAAACTTCTCGTTAGAAGCTCATTTGTGTTAAGTTTGCCCATAACAGTTTTTCAAGCCAATAACAACATGACCACAAGTGAAGTTGATTGGCTAACACTGATACATGCTGCAGAGGTAGAAAACTTCAGTAAAAGCATTTCCATCAAGTGTATCTTTTCCTTTGCTCCCTACCCTTTTCATTTCTTTCTTCTCTTGTCAGCCTTTATGCAGAATAATAACAATTTTGTTGCCCTATTATTAGTAGTATTTTTAGCACTAATGCTAGTGGTGCAGAGCAAATGCATGAAACTTATAATCTTAGTCAAACACACACGGGTTAAGTATCGCAACTGATAGGGGACGAGCCAGTTGGCTGAATTTGGGACTACCAAGAACAAATCCAGCTAGCGGTCAGAACAGGACTTGAACTAGGGGTCCCTGAATTGCAAGTCCAGCATTCTAACCACTCACCCACGTTGAAATGCCTGAACTCAGGTTGTTTTTAAGCACAATAAAAACATCCTACCTGGTGAATTTCTTCCTTCAACTAAGGCTTCAATGTAGGCATCATTAGGGGAATCATTCCAGACACTGTAGATTGGTGTGGGAAAAGGGTTCAGTTTTGACAGTGAATAGCTGCAAAGAATACGACATAATCTCCCATTTCCATCCGAAAAAGGATGAAGATCAAGAAGTTCTAGGAGAATCCAAGCACAGGTTTTGAAAAAATCACACAAATCCTCAAAATTTGTCAGCCCATCCTTTGTGGAAGAATCAAACAGAAAATTGTACTTGTCTAATAAGTTGACAACTGCGCTTTCCATATCTTCAGGGTTCGCGTAGTAGTAAATTTCTCCTCGAAATTCGGTCACCCGAGGTTTGTTGCTCATTTTTCCAGGTTTCGTAAAACCCTTTGGAAGAGGAATGTCTTGTAAGATAACACGATGTATCTCTTTTAGTAAACTTGTTTCCAGTAGTCCGTAATCTCTGTCTAGTTCTTCCCTCTTGATTTTAGCTAACAAATTTTCATATGCATTTCTCATGTTTATAGTTTCTTGTTCTTCGAGCGACAAAGGACGTGGGAAGTCTCTTCGAGACAAAAAACTTTTCGTTTCATCATGCGTGCGAAGTCCATGTCCCTCTTCTAAGTTTGAACGGAAAATAAAATTGACTAGAAACTGCTCCTCTACCTTTCTGACTACCTCTTGATCGTAGGTACCATCTTTTGTTGCCGTATCCCACCTTTTTCGATATTTAGCTACCTCGGAAATCATTTCTTTAACCGTCATCTGTGACGCAGAAGTTGGCGAAATTTCCACAGCGTCGAATGAAATGAGATGTTTCACTGGATATTCAACAACCTTGCCCATAGTGATGTATCAGCTAGCAAACTTTACTAGGTCTGAAGAAGAAGAGTTCCTTCAAGCAAATTTGCGAGCCAAAATTTGTAACGGACGCGACACGCGGAAAGTGGTCTTCAACAAAGCGATGACGTCATGTTACAACCGCCTCAGTGACCAGTGACACGCTCGCAAAAACATCATCATTATATTTAGACATGATGGCTTTTCACATTATTAATCCTCCCAGTAAATATTATTTGTAGGAATATAAAAAGAAGACGTTTATATATGCAAGGTACATACTTTTCTATTTGGAAAGACCTTCTCTACATGTGCCATTACTCAACATGGCCGGGCAACAGGGATGGTTAAGGCACAGGCTGGTTAAGGCAAAAAGGGGGTAGTGAGCTGGCAAATAGCCTGTGGCAAATAGGCCTTTGGTAGAGCGGGGAACTGGGGAGAGGGAAAAGCGAGCTAAATGACAGAATCGGCAGGATTATTACAAGCGGCCTCAAATGTTTGTCTACAGGCTCTCTCTTCTCCCCCTCTCCCCCCCCCCCTTTCCCTGCTATTTTTCCCCCCAAACAGAGAGCCTGTTCACAGGCTAGTTGGCAAACAACTGAGAGGTCATAAACTGACACCTGAGTTTTGTGAATCTCCTAGACAAATTGGTGAGTTGAATGTGGATCGCGATAAGATTATTTTTTTCTATATTAGCATAATGTTAAATAACACTTTCTTGGCTCCAAGGAACAAAATCTTGCAGGGCAGAAAAATATTCCTTCAGTTACAGGGAAAATAAAAACAAGGAAACGTGTATTAAGAAGACTGCCTGAAGCAGTCAGCTACTATTCAGCCCGGGGGGAGGTACTGCCATATGTGGGCTATATAGGTATGTGCCACTGTGAAGGGTATGGTTTTCAAGCAGTTTACTCTAGGATAGGGTTTATGAATCAGAGCGTTAGGGTCTAGAATAGGGTATCATTTTTCAGGAAACTGATCAGTTGGTTGAAGATAATTTTATCTAGACTAAGGATTGTGGTATAAGGTTTTGTTTTAGCTAGACTGTGCTAGTGACCTCAGTAGTTTCTGGAAAAAAGCTACTCTAGGATAGGGGGGACTTGGGGAGTGTACTCTAGTATAGGGTAGCAAAATTCAGCTGAACTACTGGTATAGGTTAAGGGTTCCAGGGTCCCAGTGGCACATCCCTACCCAGAAATTCCTTAAGTACCCCACCCCGGGGTATTCAGCAGATCCCACACTCAACAGTTATAACTTTTTTCCCCTCAATTTCGGTTTATTGTATTGAAGGAAGGTTTTCGTCTGTGTCAATTCACTACATGTTTCATTAGTACCTTCGTTGCCAGACCACTTAGCAAAAACCCAAATTCAAATACCAATTTCATATTTTAAAGTCGATGTTATTGTGAATTGGTCCAGACTGAATTATAAAATGACATGGACAAAAGGTAATTGACTTTATTCAAGACACCTTTCTAGTCAGTGGTGGATCCAGGGGAGGGGCCTGGGGGGCCCGGTATCCCCCACCCTTATTGTTGGACTAAACTGAGGCCCCAAGGGCCAAAGATTTTTTCTTGGAGACTGCATTCCACCCCCTCTTATCCCAGGATCTGGATGACCGGGTCCCTCCCTTATCTGAAGGTCTGGATCGGCCACTGCTAGTTTAGTAATCATATGATTACTTTTAAAATAGCTAGATGGGAATAAATTATTATTCTGTTTTAAGTGGATAAAAATTGTATTTTTTGCCCCCATTAGCAAGGATATTAAAACAACATTGTGTTTAAAAATATTTATGTTCCTCTTTATACTTTGTGACTAGTTTTAAAAGACTGAAATTTTTTTTGTCACCTTTTTTTGCACCAGTTGGCATTAAAATTAAATTATTTAAAGTATTAAATGATACTTAATAATATTTGAATGTTCAAATAATAATTTGAACGAATAAAAATTTTCTTTTCTCTGAAAATTTTCAATGTAATTTCCACTTATTACATGTATTGAACTGATCTATAAGTCAACTAATCTTATCTCCTTAAAGAGGACTTGGTTAAAACTTGAGTGATAACTCAGTTTACCGGTTTTCTCTTAATCTTTTCTTTTTCTTCAAGTCTTTGAAAAAATTTTCTCCATCCATAGTAACTACACTCGATTATCATGGTGGTTAAGGCAGTTGGATGTCTCTCAACTGTTTTTCTTGTATGCATAAGTGCCTCTAAATAATCGTCTTTGGAGGAATCAGTCCACACGTTGTACACTGGAGTTGGGAAAGGTGAAAAATAAGAAAGCAAATAACTACATAAAATCCGGCAAAGTCTTCCATTTCCTTCCCCAAAGGGGTGAAGATCAAGAAGTTCAAATAACAGCCACGCACAAGTTTTGAAGAGATAGTAAAAGTCATCAACGTCTTTCAGACCGTCTCTAGTACAGCAATCGAACCGAGTATTGCACTTTTCAAGTATATCGATAACAGCATTTTCCATTTGCTCAGGTTCTGGAAGATGTGGATAATTGTGCCTCTCTCCTTCGAAATCTGCATACCGTCTTTGGTTACTAAATATACCGGGTTTCGTGCGGCCATCTCCGAGAGGGACGTCTTGAAGTAGAATGCGATGGGTCTCTTGTAGCAGACTCGTTTCCATGAGTCCATAATCGCTGGGTTGTTCTTCTCTTCTAATTTTATCTAGCAAGTGTTCGTATGCTTTCTTCAAGTTTAGAGTCTCTTGCTCGCTCTTTGAGATGGAGCGTTTTAAGGTGATACCTTTATCGTGACAGTTTTTGAGAAAGTTATCCGTCTCCTCGTAGGTTGAAAAACCTTTTTCCTCCTCCATGTTCACGTGAAATATAAACTGAATGAGGAAGTCTTGGTAAACTTGCTTGATCAAATCCGATTCATAATTATCCTTTTTTCTTCCTTCCCATTCCTTGCTGTACTCCATTATTTTTGCAACCATCTCTTTGACTGGAATTTCTTTCGTTTTGCGCCACTTAGGAGCTTCCAAGGCCTCGAATGGAAGCAAATCCTTCAAAAGTCGCCTCCTCTCTTCCGCCATGATAGTGCACACAAAAGCAGTACTCTTTGGGATGAGAGAAGATTGGGGAATATGTTGAGGCGCGCGGGGTCCCATGGGAAGGTCGCCAAGGAAAACTATGGGCGCTTTCCATTTAGGAAAAAAACCCGGAAATTTCGGTGGTAGCAAAAGTGGAATTTCCGATTGGTAAAAAGTTGTTCCATGTGGTCGTAAACCCCGGTACGTGGAGGTGCCCGACCGTGGACCTGGAACTGGTACAAACTACGAGAAACGTAAATGGAACACGAGATTCCGTTCGGAAATTCCACCCGGGAAAACGCGACCACCTTTTTAGATTTTCCACTTTTTCTGGGAATTTTTCAGTGGGACGAACCGACGAAACGTGTTCCATTTACCGCCGAACCGGAAATTCCGGAAATTTTGAGTAAATGGAAAGCGCCCTATTCCTTTCTGGAAAGCACCAGATAAGGGACCGGTCATTATTTATCACCTGGCGGGGGGTTGGAGGATTTTGGGGGGATCACTTGATTTTTAGGAGAACAGAGGGGGGGATCAGTCGTAACTGAGAGCCCAAAAGGGGGGGATCACTGAAAATTTTGGAAGGATTCAGAGGGGGGACCACTCAAATCTGCTTGAACAATGCCAGTTTGAAAGCATACAACATAAATGTGCCCATTCTGCTGGGAGATGATAGCATTTGCAATCTCAATTTGTTCTAACACAACTTTATTTAAAAAACGGAAGTCTGTCACACTGGCGAATGTGTGCATTTCAATTTATATCGAGAAAGCTTTGTTTTAACGCTTTTATATTTTTCCTTTTATAACGCGCTCATGACTTAGGTAATATTCATCTTTAAACATGACAGGTGAATTCTAAATTTTTAACTTTATAAACTTCTGATAACTGAAACATTGTAAAAAGCGTGTTTGTTTAAACATAAACCATTTATCGCCTCTCCAGGAATGGGCGTCCTGTGTCAGCTCTATACTAAACTCGATTCAACTGCTCCATCTGCCTCATCTTGAGCCTCATCATCCCATTCAACAACTTCATTTGCCTCTTGAGCCTCGTCATCCGATTCCACAGCAACATTTAGTCCCCTTCGGCAGGTTGACCCTGGACTTTGTGCCCTTAAGATGGCCGCTACTTGCTCTAGATTTTTTGCTAGGATCGTGCTAAAAATACCCTTTTCTGGTAGCCATAGCAAAGGGTCTAGATGCAAACGCCTTGTTAGTTTCTTAGCAAAGTCAGCATTGATGCTATCTACAGGAGTAACTCTATCATTCTCTTCGATTGAACCGAAAATTTGCCCCGCGACCTCGATTGAGGTCAAGTTTCCTAAGAGATGACGTGCCCTCTGCTTGAGTCACTTGTCCTTGGTTTTTCGGACCTTCCTCTTATTTTCCTTCTTTCTTCTTGACATTGTTGATTTTCTCGCGCACAAAGGAAACTTCTTTGACAGGTTAATATGCGCTGTTGTCAACTTGTTGTATGGGGACTGAAGTTCCTCGTGCAGTGTAGTGATTCGCCTATGTGCTTCTTCTAAATAGGCCAACTCATCGCCTGCAAATGACTTTAGAGTGTGGTCCTCTGAAAACAGCTCCTTACGTTTGCTATCGATCAATGACAGTAAATCAGACGCACTGTTCAAAGTGTCATTTACAGTGCTCAAGCAAGACTCGCACTTTGCAACGTCACTGCTGTTGCAGCTGTTTGTGCCTGAAATGAACTTTTTAATGTTTTGGCACACTCCATATCTCTCATTCTTCAGTAAATTGTTCGCTTTGTTTGACAGCTCCTCTATCTTGTTATTTAGCGCCCATCGCGTTTGCTGTTGCTCAAGCAGGTAGTTCCTGAACCCAGATTGCTTGTGACGAAAGGTGAATATGGGTACAAAGACATGGGGGGGGATTATTTTATTTCACTCTCAATAAGCTGATTATGTATTGATATTGTTAGGAGATAACTGAAGTTGATCAGTCTTGGGAGTTAAAGGGTTAAGTGGTTTAAAAGAATGACTAAGCTTTCCAGTTTAAGTTACATGATCTGAGCGAAATTAAAGGTAACACATGTGCACTCCAGCTGTTCATCTTGAATTGGTCACTTAATACTAAATAGGCATGACTGTGAATACCTAGTAACATGGGTAAGGGTTACATGTAGATAGAATACTATGTAAAGCAAATCTGTTAAATGAGCCAAAGAAACATACTCTGGTCAATTCAGTGAAACTTTCACAATATAATTTGCAAGTGTAACTACTGTATTTCAGGGTTTGGAAACATTCACTGGTAAATTACACATACAGTTATAACAAGTTTTATTCATCAAACAGTTGACTCCAGTTTACACAAAAATTTCATAATTATCAATAAAGTTATTATCCTTCAACATACCCAATAAAATGAAATGTAGTTGAAGAAATGACACAAGAAAGAAAACATGATGCACTTTACAAAATGAGTCCATGTCCATGTTACCCGGGCTTGGAAACTAGACCAATAAAAATTAGGAGACAACTAGGATGTCTTTTGGACAAGAAAAAGCTGCAAAATTTGATGACAAACATTTTGAAGTACTGTTTTTCAATACATGCTCATTCTTCTTAGCAGTAGTTCTACATGTACTAGCAGCTTCTTTGTCCAAGGCCTCAAAAAAGTTCTTCCACTGATAATAACTACACTGTACTATCATAGTTGTAAGGGCACAAGGATGTCTACCTGTGAAACCAACAAGTATAAGAGTTATTACCTACATGTAACTAAAAATTAATGCTAATTGGAGTCTGTGAAACACAGTCAATGAGATAATTTTAGCATGAATGCAATCATAAACATGTCACAATTTTGAACACAGAACTAAGTAGATTTCTGAAATTGTTACATTGTACAAATGTACCTCTTGCTTGTTGAGGCAGAACTCTCACTTTCTGATTGACTGACATAACGCAATACAATACCGCAAGGATGTGGCTGAGGAAAGCTAACTAGCCTTTTTATTGGTCAAGGCTTTTTCACTTAACTGCACCTTTAAATTGACCCCATGTCTTTGTTTTCCAGAGTAATTTGAGCCAAGGCCTAAGTCTTTTTCAGCCAGTGAAATTACAGTGTAGCCAGCAGCCAGCTATTAGGGATATCCCTAATACAGCATAGATGTCTTTAGGGAAACTGGTAACGAGTAACACAAACACATGAATTGAGTTGTGGTTGCCCTTATTTCTTTCAAATGGTATCCAAAATGCTTTTGGAAGAACTAAAACCTGGTTAATAAGATGAAAAGGAACAATCATAAATGATATAGTTCAAGTTACTTATGTGCCAAGAATGAAGTACCCGTTTATTTCTATTGCCATTTTGTAGCTAAATGAGTGATTGAACATGACACAAAATTAAACCCTGTGGAAGTGGTTACATTCCTCCACCCCTCTTCCCTCTGGAATTTCCTGAGCCTCTTACCTAGGCCTCAGGCCCAATGCTCAAAACACTGATCATGAGGTATACATAACCATCAAACATTTTTGTGATCATTTTGATGTACCTGGAATCAGTTTTTAAATGCCTAAGGTAACGAAAAAGGATTAATGGCCTTCAAGATTAAAGTTGTCAAGAAAGCTGTGGACTATTTTTGGGAAGGACACACAGTCTCTCTCTGGTCCGAGGTAGTGGGTCAGCAGTCTGGAAATTATGTGCCTCCCTAGAAAAAGCCCTAAAATGCGATTTTCAGCATTCTGAAAATTGAGAACAAGAGTGTGTTTTTCATTCAAGAAAATGTAGCTTTCATTCAACTTTTGAATTATGAGTCACAATCAATTCCTACAAGAAATGAACAAATGATATAATGAATGTAATTTTGCACTTCAACAAATTCTGCGTAAACCTATGAAGAAACTTGTGAAAAATTGACTGAAATATAGTGTCCACAAACTTTATGACTAAAGCATAACATAAAGCCAGTGGGTCTTTATGAAAACACATCATAATTAGGTTTTCATTCAGATTTTATGATATACTTTTTTGTTGACAATGTTATTCAAACTAGTTGCTTCTCCTTTCTGAAAAAAGTAGCCGAAGCCAACTTCTGTGAGCAAAGTAGCCGACACGTTTCATTGGCCGTCAGTGCTTACTGAAACCCCTGGTGTATACTTCACAGTACATATTTGTCAAATGCTCAAATAAGAATTGCTCTTTCTAAAGCTTGTGTATTTTATGACATCTCAAACTTCTCTTTAGAAGCTCATTTGTGTTAAGTTTGCATATAACAGTTTTTCAAGCCAATAACAGCATGACCACAAGTGAAGTTGATTGGCTAACACTGACACATGCTGCAGAGGTAGAAAACTTCAGTAAAAGCATTTCCATCAAGTGTATCTTTCCCTTTGCTCCCTACCCTTTTCATTTCTTTCTTCTCTTGTCAACCATTATGCAGAATAATAACAATTCTGTTGCCCTATTATTATTAGTATTTTTAGCACTCATGCTAGTGGTGCAGAGCAAATGCATGAAACTTATAATCTTAATCAAACATGCACGGGTTAGGAATCGCAACTGATAGGAGGCAAACCAGTTGGCTGAATTTGGAACTACCAAGAACAAATCCAGCTAGTGGTCAGAGCAGGACTTGAACTAGGAGTCCCTGAATTGCAAGTCCAGCATTCTAACCACTCAGCCACATTGAAATGCCTAATACTCAGGTTGTTTGTAAGCACAATATTTAACATCCTACCTGGTGAATTTCTTCCTTCAACTAAGGCTTCAATGTAGGCATCATTAGGGGAATCAGTCCAGACACTGTAGATTGGCGTGGGAAAAGGGTTTAGTTTTGACAGTGAATAGCTGCAAAGAATACGACATAATCTCCCATTTCCATCCGAAAAAGGATGAAGATCAAGAAGTTCTAGGAGAATCCAAGCACAGGTTTTGAAAAAATCACACAAATCCTCAAAATTTGTCAGCCCATCCTTTGTGCAAGAATCAAACAGAAAATTGTACTTGTCTAATAAGTTGACAACTGCGCTTTCCATATCTTCAGGGTTCGCATAGTAGTAAATTTCTCCTCGAAATTCGGTCATCCGAGGCTTGTTGCTCATTTCTCCAGGTTTCGTCAAACCCTTTGGAAGGGGAATGTCTTGTAAGACAACACGATGTATCTCTTTTAGTAAACTTGCTTCTAATAGTCCGTAGTCTCTATCTAGTTCTTCCCCCTTTATTTTAGCTAACAAATTTTCATATGCATTTCTCATGTTTAGAGTTTCTTGTTCTTCGAGAGACAAGGGAAGTGGGAAGTCTCTTCGAGAGAAAATTCTTCCCAGAAAGCTTTTCGTTTCATCAAGCGTGCGAAGTCCATGTCCCTCTTCTAAGTTTGAACGGAAAATAAAGTTGACTAGAAACTGCTCCTCTACCTTTTTGACTACCTCTTGATAGTAAGTACCATCTTTTGTTGCTGTATCCCATCTTTTTCGATAGTTAGCTATCTCGGAAATCATTTCTTCAACCGTCATCTCTGACGCAGTAGTTGACGAAGATTCCACAGCGTCGAAGGAAATGAGATGTTTTACTGGATATTCAGCAACCTTACCCATGGTGATGCACCAACTAGCAGAGTTTACTAGGTCTGAAGAAGGAGAGTTCCTTGGGAGCAAATTTGGGAGCCAAAGTTAAAATGTGTTCACTCGCCGAAACGGACGCGCGGGATGACAAACTTCAACAAAGCGGTGACGTCATTTTCCAACCGTCTCAGTGATATCCGCGTGAGCCCGCGCTCCACCGTCATCATCATTTATAGCAATGATAGCATTATATATTATTAACTCCCCAAAATAAATATTATTATTTGTAGCAATATTAAAAAGAAGACATTTATATATGCAAAGTACGTACTTTTCTATTTGGAAAGACCTTCTGTACATGAACCGTTACTCAACAGGGAGGTATAAAGCTGTAGTACTGAAATGTAAGGATTTGTCATGATTTGTAAGGCAATAAACACAATGTACAGTCAATAAACTGTTTTTTTAGTACACCCTACGTATATATTTCAACCAGGAGCCGCTCTGGTCTATAGTTTTAATATTTAGGTCCAGAGCATATTTATTCAGTGTTTTTCTTCACAGCCTAGTCTATCTTTTACTTTTTTAATAATCTTTAGTTTTATATATAAATTTAATTAATTTCAACCTGGGTCTTGGACCTAGCCATGAGGCTAGGGGATGTATTTTGTTCTGGTCTGCATTAGTGAACTTAGGCAACAGGATGGGAGAGGAGAGATGATGGCAAACCTTGTGTGACAAGCATGACAATAATTTTGTTTGAAAAAAACCTTCCATAACTTCACATTTCCTTTAAACGTATCTATTTGTAGAAGAGCAAAAAACATCTATGCTAAGTGAATAATTTTCAACAAAACACACAAGTAGCCCCGTCACATTTGTGACACTTATTCACTTTACTGTCCTCTTCTTTCTGCCATCCTGTTGCGTAAATTCACTATTTAGGCCCAGAGTTTTTAATTATTTCACTATAATTGTTCATGGCCTAGTCCATCTTTTACTTAATTAATGCCAGATAACTCCATGAAAAAGTTTAGAGGGATCTTTTTAAACAATCAACAAAGTTGATAAGGCAATTAAGGATCTTAGACTGTTAAGTGTTTGTTGGGAAAATATGATATACCGTAAAATTCCCAAAATAAGCCCCCCCATGTATAAGCCCCTCCAAATATAAGCCCCCCAAACCGGTAACGCAAAAGCCCTCCGTTAAATCGCCCCTCCAAATATAAGCCCCCTGGGGGGCTTGCACTTGGACAATTGCCCTCAAATACAAAGTAAAACAAAGCAAAAATGGAAAATTTACTTCCAACTACAAGGCTAGCCCAATGGACTTTGAAACGCAAATTTCCCTCCGTAGATAAGCCCCTCCAAAAATAAGCCCCTCAAAAAGGGCCTTTGAAAAATATAAGCCCCGGGGCTTATTTTCGGAATTTTACGGTATTCAATATGGCCCAGTTAAATAAATTAATGTTTGCCCAGAAAAATATTCCTTCAGTTATAGGGAAATATAAACACAGGGAAACGTGTATTAAGAGGACTGGCTGAAGCAGCCTGCTAGTATTCAGCAAATCCAAGTGTCAAATTCAACTTTTGTCCCCACATTTTCTAGACGGAAGGTTTTTATTGGTGTCACTACATGTTTCAGTAGCTGGGACCTCCTTTAATTGCTAGCCCACTTAGCTAAAGCCAAATCCAAATATTGACTTTACAAATGGTACAGACTGCAGTGTGTAATGCATGACTAGAATAATTACAAGGTAATAACACTGACTTTATTCAAAACACCAAACTAGTTTAGTTTCGGTTTGACATGATCATAAACTTATGAGCTTGATGTTTGGGAATTCTGGTAATTGTATTCTTTGCCTCATTTTTACAAGGACGTTAAAACAACATTGTGTTTAAAAATATTTGTTCCATTTTACACTTGGTGACTAATTTGAAAATACTGAAAAAATTTTGTTGTGCCAGCTGGCATTAAAATTGAATTATTTATAAAGTAAACAAGACTTGAAAGACTGTTCAAATAATAAGACTTACCAATAAAACTTTTCTTTTCTCTATAAAATTTCAATGTTGTTTCCACATATTACATGTACGGAACTGATTTAAAATTTAATTCATAAACTTCCTTCTTTCAGAACTCCTGGTTAGGTACCACAATATCAAAATAACGTATTGTTGTTCAGTTTAAGTTTAAGACTGAGATACAGCACTGAGGTGCAGCGGCTTAATGCTTTTACAAAAATCAAGCTTACTCCAAAATGCATCAAATTTCTACTTTTTGGCATCTTCTTCGAGACGACTCGACTAAAAGTTGGGTGGTAGCTTTTATTTGTTTTCTCTTAACCTTCTTTTCTCTTCTAGTCTTTGAAAAAAATGCTTCCATCCATGGTAGCTACACTCGATTAACATGGTGGTTAAGGCAGTCGGATGTCTTTCATCTGTGTTTCTCGTATCATAGAGTGCCTTTTGATAATCATATTTGGTCGAATCAGTCCACACATTGTACACTGGAGTTGGGAAGGGTGAAAAAGTTGACAGCAAATAACTAATTAAAATCCTGCAAAGCCTTCCATTTCCCTCCCCAAATGGGTGAAGATCAAGAAGTTCAAATAAAAGCCACGCACATGTTTTGAATAGAAAGTAGAAGTCGTCAAAGTCTTTCAGACCATGTTTGGTGCACAAATCAAATCGCTTATTGCAGCCATCAAGCAAACGGGTAACGGCATTTTCCATCTGCTCAGCTTCTGGGAGATATGGATATTCGTACCACTCTCCTTCAAAATTGGTAAACCGCCTTTGGTTACTAAATATACCAGGTTTCGTGCGGCCATCTCCGAGAGGGACGTCTTCAAGTAGTATGCGATGGGTCTCTTGTAGCAGACTCATTGCCATGAGTCCATAATCGCTGGGTAGTTCTTCTCTTTTAATTTTATCCAGCAAGTGTTCGTAGGCTTTCTTCACGTTTAGAGTCTCCTGCTGGCTCTTTGAGGTGATACCTTTATCGTGACAGTTCTTGAGAAAGTCATCCGTTTCCTCGTAGGTTGAAAAGCCTTTTTCCTCCTCCATGTTCACGTGAAATATAAACTCAACGAGGAAGTCTTGGCGGACTTGTTCGATCAAATCAGATTCATAATTATCCTTTTTTTGTCCTTCCCATTCCTTACTATACTCTATTATTTTTGCTACCATCTCTTTGACCCGAACGTCTTTCGTTTTGCGCCACTTGGGCGCTTCCAAGGCCTCAAACGGGAGCAAATCCTTCAACAGTCGCTTCCTTTCTTCCGCCATGATAGTGCACTCGAAAAAGTGTGCCAGAAACGTGCTTGCCTCGTTTCTAACCTCGCACAGGCTCCCCTCACATTCCACCAGACTCTCAACACAGATAACCCAGGTTCTGTGATGGTACTACCGGTTCGGATTACAGCCTGTGAACAAGCTGTCTGTTTGGCGAAAGGGTGTTTACAAGCTAGGAAAATTACAGTGTTTGTATGGGGTAAAGTTACGAGCCTAAAATTTGTAGGAAATACCAAATAAAAGTCAATGAAACTTACTCTGCAGCTACTTGTCAGTTGTCTTAAGGGACGGACCATTAGAAAAGTCAGCTTGCACGAATTTTTTTTTTCGCTCACTGCTTGTGCAGGAATTTTTTTTCACGCGAACCCCTCTGCGCGAGTTTTTTTTTTCAGACAAATATTGCTTTTTTTTGAGCAATGAAATCTTGATTCATTGTCTATGTTTTTGTGCTTTATAAATTATTCTACACTCACAATAGATCAAGGGATACAGGCCACTTTAATGCAAAATCTTTTCGAAAATGTACACACAGTGAGAGAGGAGGAAGCCACTTGGAGTGGACGACTTCGCTGCCCTCTGGAATTCTTCTCCCACAGCCCATCATTATGATGCCATACTCCATTCACCAATTTAAGCTGTTCATGTCGTTAACAGTAAAGTTTTAACACTTACTACCACGTGTGAATGCACGTTTTCATTGTATTATAGAATTCTTATTCAAGGCGGTAAGACCCATTCTCTAATTTTTATTGTGGGCACAAATAACTCTATAGAATATTTACAAAGCTACCAAATTCTAATATTTATTTATTACAAATTTTATTTTATTATTTTTATTATAATACAGTATACAATGTATGTTGTAGGTACTCTAGCTGCAATTTAAAACAAAAACAAGGTTCTAATTGACCGCTCCAGAAAAACCATAACATACCATAATACTCTTTGTTTGTCACTCCAAAGTTTTGCATAAGCATTGTCTTCAGTTTCTCTTGGGAGTTAAAATGGCCGCAAGAGAAACTGAAAACAATGCTTTTGCAAAACTTGGGGTGACAAACAAAGAGCATTATGGTATGTTATGGTATTTTCTGGAGCGGTCAATTGTCTCCTTTCAAAAAGAAGAAACTGATTTTTGTTTATTCATATTCTTGGCATTTTTCCTTGCATTAATTATTTTTTGTTTTTTTCCCCACCCCCACCCCCATCACTCTTCTAATGGTCCGTCCCTAAATGTTCACTGGAAGTTTCCTGATATTAAAAAGATGCTCAAATTCTTCGTCCATACAATAAATTACAAAGGGTAGGTCGCAAGCAAGAAATAAAATCTCAGCCGCTATCTCTCCCTTTCCAACACCAGTTCTTCACGAAATTCTGACTTCAGTGGTATACATAAAATAATTAAACACCCTAGACTCGTAGAAAGAGGGCTGCCCCAGGAATGGGAACCAACGAAGCTTCCCGGCTAGCGAAAAGAATGCAAGAACCGTGCCCGCTGTGACAGGTTTTTCCACAGTTTGAAACGAATTAATGGCTCCGCGGGAACTTTTGGTGCTTAACTGCGAATAAAACTGGGGGGAAACTACGAAAACTAAGACCCCTACAAGCTAAATTTAAAATGTCCACTGCGTAAGAATACCGCTGCACTCACGGGCAACCCAGACTTGGACTTTGGTCGACTCTCCCATAGGAGACGTGAGTTCAGAGAGTGAATCTGAACTGCAGACACCTGCAGA